TTTAATTCAATTAACTGCACAATTGCAATAATAATCAACAGTTAATTAGGCTTCAGTTTGTATTCATCTAAGTCAGACTAATGTTCTTAATTATGTACCTCTGTTATTATTCTTACGGGACTGTAGTCCCAGAATAAAATTAGTTTTTCATTCATTCATCCTATTCCTTTGTCCCTCTGTTATAACTATTGTTCGTTACAATCTCTTATTTCTCCTTAAGTTAATTATCAAATTATTTCATATTTTATATTTAACCATTTTTTGTATCCGAGTTAGGAAATAGGCAAATGATTAATTATTTTAATGATGTAGAGATGGTTGACCATGATATAATATGAGAAGGAATTGGTCAGGGGATGTGGTCAAATAAATACTAGATTATTTTAAAATAGTATTTTTAATTACCCCGACGTTTCGACCCACCTTGCAGGTCTTCATCAGGCCGTGGCATATGGCACTGCAGGAGGCAGTTGGCCAGTCTAGCAACTCGGACTACCAAATCGGAAGACCTCAAAACATGTATTTCTGTTGAAAACTCGGATCAAAAATTGTCAAAATCGCTCTGCTTTTCTTTATGATATATTTCATATATGGGTAAGTGAAAGTAAAAAAAACTTATTTTTAAAAAGTTTTAGTATCACTGGAGGAATTTTTATAGTTGATAATCATATTTGAAGTAGAACTTTTTCCCTTGCAACTTTTCAAGTAAAACTTATAAAGAACTTTTATTTAAAACAATATAAATATTTAAAAGTTATGTTGATTTCACTAAAAAGGTGATCTAAAAAATCAGTTTTATTCTTAGTTACTCAAACAAATCTTTTAAGACAAATTATAACTATAATCTAAGCTCAATTACTGTTGAGCTACAGAACTTTTTTTAAGAAGTTAATTAAAATTTAAACGTTTACCATAAACCTGGAACATTATTAGCAAAAGGTTCTTTAAAACTTTTATTTTAAGAACTTTTTCTTAAAATGTTTCACAGAAATTTTTAAAATGGAAGTTTTTAAAAAAGAGTCAACCCCTTAGTTTTTTTGGCCTTTTCAATAGTCTATCTAACCTTATTCAAATCTCTTGAGCCTTTTTTTTAAACTCAAAATTAAAAAAAAAAAAAGTGTTTATAAATTATTTTTGTTTATATAAATAATAGGAATAAAAAACCTATAAAAGAAAATAAACTTTATTTTGGGACAAAGTACCTTAAGAATAACATTATGAACAAAGAACAAAAACTACAATTATAAAAATTAAAGAATATATACAATGTCTTCAGTGAAAATATATAATCAACAGGAAGTAAAAACTTTTGGAAAAAAACAAAACATTAATGAAATGAAAAGAAAAACAGAAATCTGAGAAAATAAAAAACGAAATGTTATAAACACTATGAGTTGATTCTTAAAATTAAAACGATTTCAACAACCATTCACTTCAATCAAAATTTATTTCATGATTGATTGAATTCATATTTAAGTTTTAAAGGGCATTAAAAACTAAAGTAACTTGATTTTTCATAACAAAAATTACTTTATTTTAAACATCTTTTGAATTTTATAATTTATATCATACTAGCTGATGTACCCTTTGTTGATGGGCGTATAGTTAAAATTTGAGAATCTTTTGTTGAGATGGATTTTGTATTATGGAAGGGGATCCAAATTTCATTTAATAAAATTGGGTGGGGGGAGACATTGTTCTGTAATTTTTCATTGGGAGGGGGTTATGGAAGTCAAGGTTTTGGAATAGTCATAATAAAAACTTTGTTATACAGCTATTTGTTTAGGTGCCACAAAACTAAACCAACCATCATCGATTCATTAAAATTGTTTTAGTGTTTAATTATTATTTATAATGAAGTGAGGAGATTGTGCAGTCGATTGAAATAAACAAAAAGAGTTGAAGTCTCTTCACTTCTTTAAACTCTTCTGAGTTTATTGCTTACAAAATAACCAAAATAACATTGAACATTGAGTCACTTATATCTGTATAAAATTAAAACTTGATCTGAATATTGTTGCGGCCAGGGTAAAAGTTTTGGGAGATTTTTTTGTTCCTATTTCCAGCTAATCCATTTGGTTAATCCTAAAAATGTATACAACAACATTTAGGCTTGAAAAGTTGAATTGAATGGGAAGATAGGACAAAGTTGAAAAATGAGTGTTTTAAGCGACAACCTGTTACAGATGTTCGGATTTTTCCCATTGAGTTGTGATAATTTTTCCATCAGTTGAATAATACAACTTTTAAATGTGGTTCGCGGTAGAGTAGGTTGGAATGAGAATCAAAGTAAGTAACTGCCTAACAGAGATCTCTAGACAGATTACTCAAGAATTCATAATTTTGGTTCAACTCAATATTTTGTTTTCATTTAAAGCCTATGTTTTAAGCCAAGCAAACCTAAATATAATGTCAAAATTTCAAAAGTCTACCATTAGTCATTGCTGAGCTTATCTCTGACAAAATTTCGTTGGACAGACAAAAAAATTTTTAAAAGTGGATTTGGTGTCTGTAATGTATGAAACGGGTTGATTCTATTAAATGTACAGACAATACCTTTATTTTATTTATATAGATTATAACATATTTAATACAATTGACAATATGTTTTCCTTATTCTGAACATCTAATAACATAGTATAAAATAATATAACTAATAATATATATATATATATATATATATATATATATATATATATATATATATAAATGAATGTATATCTGTCTGTTCGTCTGTTTTTCCTTAGTGCATTACTAAACCATTCAACCGATCGCCATGAAACTTTGGGAAGTTGTTCCGTACACTCCTGGAAAGGTTTAGTACTTCTGTCTTACGATAATTTTATATATGTAAAAAAAATAAAAATGTAAATGTTTTTCTGTTCAAAGCCGAAAAAAATGTGTCGCTATAAACTGTAGTGCCAAAACGGCTTTACCGATTTTAACGAACTTGGCTAAAGTCTTCCCCTTGAAGTCCTTTTAATTTATGTGTATAACATACTTTCTCGACAACAAGTTGAAAAATGTTACGATGAATTCAATATTTTATTTGACGATAACTAAAAAAGTACACCTCTTTTGACTGATAATACCCCCATTTATTTGAAAGATTCGTTGCAGAGTTATTGAGTTTTAAACATTTTCTGCTTTCTCTTCAGAAAAGGCCGTTTCCTTCTGCTTCCTTACTACCGAACGTCGGCAAGCATTTTTTTTATTATTAATTAATCGAAAATTTTATACTACACTAATTGAAATTATCATTTGAAGAATTTATGATTCTCCTTATGTAGGTCAATACTATTATACGTTTTTTTAATTAATTTAGTTTTATAAGTTCAACTCAGACTGTTTCTGATGATAATGAATGATGGCGTATTTACTCAGATGATTATGAATGTTCAATTTGAGTCATGAGAAAAAAAACAATTAGAATTAGTTTCAATTGAAGCCATTTTACAGACAAATTTGTTTCCCAACTTTTTAAAAATGACAGATGTCCTTTGCTACTAATCTACTCATATGTGCTTTCTATTTTCTTTCTTTTTCATTTTGCCAGGCTAAGGCACAGCAGGGCATGGCCGGGTAAAGCTAGTATAGTATATAGTATAAAATTGAAAGATAATTCACAAAAAAATCTCAATAATTAAATAAATTGGTTTAATTGGTTCAATACATTTGTTGGTTAATTGACTGGCACATACTAGGAATGAAGTAATGCAGAGGAACTTAAAAAGATTGAAGATAGGAAGGATAAGTATATATTATAAATACCAGACCAATTGATTTCAGATATTTAACTTTAATTAAAAATAATATATGAACTTACATAATTATAAATTGTTCACATTATAGTAAAAATATTATTTTTTAATCAAGTTGAAATTTACAATGTTATACGTTTCGAAATTCGTTTCTGAAAATTGTTTTTCTATCACTTATACTTACTACGTCTTTTAATCGAGAAAAATAGCGTTCAACATGAACTGAGGTAAGGGAACTCATTTTGTAAGAACCATTGCGGCTTCTCTATCAACATTAATATATATACTGTTAGTCGTTATATTTTTTTGTAAGATTGTCAACCTGTATTTTTTCTATTACACAGGGAAATTTTTGAGATATATTTTTTCCTATTTCGCTATTTATGATTTCCTATGATTTTTTATGATTTTCTCCTACAGTTTCTATAATTTTAATTTGTTTATTAAGTGACAAATTTCGAGATTCGAACTGAGTTAATGTTTGAGAAAAATTTGACAAATGTGATTTTATGAATGTCAAACCAGATATTATTCATTCCATTACTGTCTATATCCCCATCAAATCTGCTGATAGTCACTCTCATGATAGGTGCAGATGAAGATCTGAGGAGAAAAAAAAAAATGTTTTTTATGCTGAATTAATTTGCTTCATAGCAAAAAGGGATACTGAGAAAAAATTGAGAATTCAAGTCAAAATAAAGAAAGCAGTTTTTTTTATTGATTTCTTCCAGAAAAGTTCTATTCCACGAATAGTCTACCTGCATTGGTGTTTACTTCCTCCTTTTGTAAAGTTAAATTTGAATCTTTGTGTCACAAACTCATTTACCTTCCTCATATGTTTCTTTCTTAAATTATAAGTCTAATATGGACAAAATAGTAAAATAAAAAAGTAAATATTTACACACGCACATATATTTATAAATCGTATATGCTAGCACAAAATTTACAAAAATGTACAATTTAATGCAACAAAAATCAAAATCGTACAATTTAAGCCAAAAATGGCAAAACGTGCAATATAAAAATTAAATATGTTATTGAATATTTAATAGTTGACTGTTGCATTATAAGAGTCAGGGGTGGCGGTCATAAATATTTAGCCTATTTATGACCGCCATCCCCGACCATCTCCTTCCTTTAAATATGTAATTCTATAGATCCTGAAACAGATAAATATTTAGGTCCGGTGTTTTTACACACAAGCGAATAAAATGTGCAATAACATTTAAATCTGGTCTCTACTGATGACATATAGATAGCAGTCAGTAAGCCACATCAACTGCTGGACGGGAGCTTATATTCTGTAATTCTTCCAGTATAATAAAGCATATGAATTGACAAGAAAAGTTATATTAAAAAAAGAACAGTGAAGAAATAAAAAAAACAATCCATTTAATTCTTTATTTTAAAAAATACATATAATCTGGAATAAATTATTTAATTAAATGTTTAATAACAAACCTTAGAACCAATAAAGAAGGCTTATACATTTAAAATGGTGGGATACATCCTACAGACATCTTTACAAGGTAGGTAAAATAAAATTCAAGAACATTTTCATAAAGATATTTATTTTATACATATATATTCTTAATCTCTTCATAATCTATTTTGAAAGCCAATTAATTATGAATGTAATGAAGTGAGGCTAACTAGCAGCCAGAAATACGTAGAGTCAAAATCTGTAAATAGTTTTAGAAAAGTAAGATAAAGAATATTATCTCACTTCCTTCGATTTAACTATCTACACAATTTTAAAGTTTACAAAATCTTGTATTTTAAAAAGTTTTATTAGTTTACTATTTTTTTTTTTGTTTTTTTTTTTTTAGTAAATACATTTCCAGTCTATAAACCATGCATTTTATTCTTTAATATTAAATAAATATGGAAGTTTGGAACATCCATCATAAATATTAAAATAAACAATATAGCTTCGAAAAGTGATTTATTTATAAAATGATGAATAAAATTAATGACTTCTAATTCTTTCTAGCTTTTACTTTGTCTTCATACAAAGTCAATTAATGGAAACTCTGATAATACCTCAGGTTGTTTATCATAAATAAAGCAGGATAAAATGATAAAATATATTACATATGAAAACGTATAATTAAAATATAATAAAATTTATAAAATAAATGAAAACTAAATCAGTGATGCTTAAGTGCCTGAAGGAGGCAGAAAGCAAAGACTGTGCCCAAGGCATAAAAGCAAAGCAATAATTTGTAACAATATGGGAAGGTATTGTTCTCAACAATAATATTAATGGCTATATCACTTAATATATTTTTTTCTTTGTTTTCAATAGGTAGAGTTATAGATACATCAGTATATGGGACTCATATACAGGACTTTGTCCAGAATTTGTGTGACAGACTCACCAATGCAACCTGCTATTCAGATAAATACATTTTCAGTGTTATCTTAAAGGCAAATAACCATACTCTTTCCTAGCCTCCTACTTGTTACATACATACTTATGCAAGTGTTTATAAATATAAATATGTATCTATATGAATATAAAGGATGATTCATTTTAACAGGCACCATTCAAATTAATCGACCTACCTATAAAGGTGGAGGGAAAGTGATCTATAATAAAATGCAAAAGCATCTATTTTCATATTGTATAAAATGAATCATCCTAAATTTACATAAATATATCCAATTGAAATGGCTTATTACAATAATAGTTTTTTTTTTTTAAATATATACTATAAAAATAAAACAACTGAAAATGGCAGTATTTATTCCTTTATAAGAAACTAATAAATAAAATTTTGTGTATTTTCATTTAAAATAATAATCTAAAAAACTTTAAATAATCTATTTTCATTTATATTTATATATATATATATATTTATAAGAATAACAAAACCGGTGGCTTCTCTTATTGCCCCAATCTAGTTTGTTGCACCATATTTGTTAATTCCTGAAAAATAAAATATTAAATTAAATAAACTTTAGAGCATAGTACATGAACTCAATTATTTATGTCCATATAAAAATTACAATGCATTCTTCGAACATGAAAAATAATATAACGAGAGACAAAAAAATTTGACACTCTTCATAGATGAGTGGAAACCAATTCAACTCCATATTCTATGTCTTATGTAGAGCAGGTTAGAATGTTAACAGGGCACAAAAAGAGTGGTCTAACTTTACCACAATTAATGATTGTTTTGATGGAATGATACAAACTTGTTAGAAATCTACATGACCTATTAATAAGAAGCAATTTTAAAAGGAAAGGCTCTAGAATAGTAATAGAGGATAACCAATATATTAGCTTTTTAGTTGAATGTAAGAATTTATTTTTATATTTAGTATACGTAACAAAACGGTATTTCAGGCTCATAAATTTTTCACTATGTTTCATTAAAAAACAAAAAATCAGAAACACAAGTAAGTCATACATTGATCTACGAATTACAAAAGTGAATACTTTTGTGGGTGATAAATAATCAGAACGCAGCCTTTTAAAAAAAATATTTTTTAATTTTTTATTTATGCCAATGTTTCAACCCAAACATGTGGGTCATCTTCAGGGTAGTGTGTGTACCCTTAACATGTGGGGCATCTTGAGTACTTGAACACCCTCAGTGCTCAAACCACGCCCTGAAGATGGCCCACATGTTTGGGTTGAAACGTTGGCATAAATAAAAAATTTAAAAAAATGTTTTTAAGAAAGACTGCATCCTGATTATTTATCACCCATGATATACAGAGCAGAAGACTAACTTCTTTCAATGAATACTTTTGTATTCATACTATAAACATTTGTGTAATAACAGGGTTTGAAATCGATAATTAAAAAAATCAAAATAAAATCTGATCAAAATTTTAAAAATTAACAATAATAATTTCTGAGTAATACTTATATTTAAATGATATATTTTGAGTCTGGAATAGTAGGTGGAAAATATTGTTGTCAACTATTAGCAATAGAATATATTTATTTCAAAAATTTATTAGAAATTTGGCTTAGAAAAAAAAAAAATATATATATACATATATAGGGTTGGCAAATAAGTCCTTTCAGTTTTTCAGAGTGAAATAAAACTCAATGTATTATAAAATTAATTTTAATCTACAATATATTGACCATTATTTAATATGGCTTTTTCTCATCTTTCCACTAACTCCATAATGACATTTTCATAGAATGTCTGGAGTTTATTGTTAAAAAACTGATCCAAGTGGTTTTTGATGTTTGCTTCCTTTTGGAATTTCTTTCCATTCATGGAGTTCTGTAGAGGACAGAATGAGTGGTAGTGACTTGGAGCTAGGTCTGGTGAATATGGAGGGTGGGGTCTAGCGTTGTCTTGGTGGAACACAACACCCTTCCGATCATTCATAACTCTACAGGATGTTCTCCAAATTCGAAGTTACTATATCCGTTGGAAAACTGAATTGTTGCTCTTCAAAGCCATACGAATGTTTTTTTTTATTTAATGCCTACATAAGGAATAAATAAACAAGAACTCTTTATAGGTTTTTATTTTTTATCACCTTAACATTCCTCATTTCAATTTCATATGGACGACCATATTCACAGTGCAATAGCAAACACAATACTAAGCTAGTTTCAAAAAGAGTTAACAGATACAGATGTTGACATATTACAAACAAGATAAACAATCCACCTCAGGGATTAATTCATCAGATAAGAAGTCTATCATAGTGACATAAAAATAAACAGAAAAAATGTAAGGACTTATTTGCCAACCCAATATATATATACAAAGTGCAGGTAACGCGTGCAAAACTAATGCAATTTCAGAAATGTAATATTAAAAAATGTGTAAAGATTCATAATTGGTAATTGGTTGACTGTCGTGGATAATGAAGAGAAGAATGGTTGGGGTGGCAGTCAAAAAGGAAGGCAAAAATAAATGATAATATTTATTTTTTACATATGCCGACGTTTCGACCTGAAGTTCAGGCCTTCATCAGGGCTAAGAAAATAACCAGATAACAAGGTATGAGAAAAAAACGTCTGCCAAGTAAGGCCAGGATAGCTTCCTCACCGTTTCCGTTGTATATTACAGGGTATACAATTTTTCGTATGAGAATAAAATCTCTGAGAGAAGCAGAATCGGAATAGCCGATTACAGTTACCCTTCAACATTCAACAACAGTGGGTCGTATTTGAATATTCCATACTTGATTATGCTTAATAAAAAAATAAATAAATAAATAAACATGCATACTGAACATGAATTTCAATACTGTTAGTTCAAAAGGTCTTATGTATAAATTTATTTATTGTTTTACAAGAGTGCATAAAAACTCAATATTTCTTTATGCTTTATTAGAATAATTTCATATTTTATTTTCATCTGCTATTTTCCATAGTAGCAGACTACTTATATCAGTTGCAGACTACAAAATATCACCTTTAATATACATAGAATTAAAGTTGAAAATTATTACATACGAACTTATGCTCTAATAAATAGTATATACATTACCGAATTTTGGAGGAGGGGCTTCAGCACGAAAGATTTATATATATATATATATATATATATATATATATATATATATATATATATATATATATATATAAAACGATAATTAATTTGAAAAAAACCACTGCAAATTATTTCTCTTTGATATATTATTTCCAAACAATTATACATATAAAGTAACATTAAATTCCTAGTTATAAAGAAAAATAAATAAAAGGTGATTCTAATTATTGGACTAAAATTTTTTTTAATCATTAGTAATATGCTAAAAAAAATAGCATTACTTCAGTAACACATTCAGAAATAAAAAAAAAAGATAAACCTTTTGCAATAGCACATCTAAAAAAAACTAGGGACCATATCTTTGCTCCTAATTGTCCGATTTTGACGAATTTTTTTTTGTTTTTAGGAATTTCCGTAAACTTCTAAAAAACCATATACAATATTGACATAAATGTGTATATTTCTTGAGTCATTCGGAGTTTAATTTTACCATCCCTCTTAACTTTTTTTGAGCTTCTTTTCGTTGAAGTATGTAGTATAGATAAATTTAGAGGGCGTAGAGAAAATGACTTTAGCGAAGTTTCATCAAAATCGGTACATTCGTTTAGGCGTTACAGTCTATAGCAATGCAGGTTTTTCGGCCGCCATTTTGAAACTAGAAGGCGAATAGTAATGTCGTTGAAGGAGGATGATCCTCGGGTGACCTCTGATTTTATATCCAAATTCGAAAAAAATCGGTCTAGTAGTTTCAGAAAAAATGCGCGGACGGCGGATTAGTAGTGCACATATAAGAGAAAGTGTTGGACACAATTCAATGAAATTGACACTACATTATTTTTTCACCAAAGTCTACCTTTTATCTAACTTTGAGCCAAATCGAACGAGCCCTTTCTGAAATATTGGCATATCTAAAAATATACGTTTGCGCCTGCGTAAGCGGAAGTGCTGGATGGAATTTGATAAAATTGATATGGGACCATCTAGGCACCAATAAGCATAATCCCTGAAAATTTCATGAAGATTGGATGAACGGTACTAGGTGATATGCCCGTCACATCGATTTGACTACAGACAGACAGACACCGAACCAAATTTGATCCTTGATGTCTGAAACGTAAAACGCGAGTGAAAATTTTCGATTCTGAGCAAAAAATTGTTTTTAATCTCTCGCACGAACACAATGCTTCCCTACCTTCGGTAGTGAGGAAGCAATAAGTAATGATGGTAAAAAAGATAATAAAAAATAAAAAAATAAAATAAAAAAATTAGAAAAATAAAATAGATAAATATAAAGTAAAATGAAATTGTTAGAATAATGAAGTAGACATAATCAAAAAGGGTGAAAAAAGTGTTACAATGGGAATCTTAGAATAAAATGTAAAACATAAAAAAGAAATATGAAGTTATATAAGAAATGAAAATAAATACATTGAGAATGGAGTAGTTAGATAGAAAATTGAGATATTGTAAAGTCTATCAAGATGTACAGACAATGTATAATATAATAAAGAGTTAAAACAGAGAAAAGGAATGTATACATAAATAACTTATGCATACATATTAATATTTAATTTAATTTGTGTGTAAAAGGTGATTTTTATTTTTTGATCAAAATTTAATCATTATTATTTCTGAAAAACTATATCATTCAGTGAGTGATCATTATTTTTAATCGAATCAATAAACATCTAAGATCAATTTAAATTTTTATTTATAAATTAGGCATAATTTTTAAATTTAGAACCAAATATAATAATAATTACATGATTTTGTGAAGAAAAAAAAATTATCGATTTCAAATCCTGTGTAATAATATCTATAGAGTTATAATCCATTAACCAAGCAGAAATATCCTAAATTATCCTTATCCTAAATTAATAAAGGTTCCAGAAACTATTTTTAAAAATCTTAGTGGTCAGGTTGGAAAAGTTAGTTCCTAGCCATCATTATATGTTTGTTTCCCCCCCCCCCCCTCCTCCTATACATCCTTTCTCACCATTGCTGGGATTCAGGGACGTTGTTCTAGAGATGCATCCAAACCTATTCTAATCAGAGTGGAAAGATTGTGATTCATTCAGTGGGTTTTCAACACACCAGATTTGAGAAATGAGTTACCTCCTTTAACACGCTCAACCATCCCTGCCTCTGCCGATTTACCATTATCTATCATAACTTGTACCAATGTTTCAAGATGATTGCAGTAAAAATTGCATCTCGTTAGGATATTAACCAAGTGATTACTATAATCACCCAAAAGTTTAGATGACAACTTTTACCTCACATGCATTAAACATAATTGTGGAAGAGAAATTGAAGCAGAGAAATAGTTTACTATAAAATATAAAATAACTTTGCCCTATTTAACAATCACATATAAAAATTATCTGGAAAACATTTTTTTTTTTTCAAATATCTTTGCCAATGTACTTGATCAATGTTTCTTATATCCAGTAATCTTTAAATAAACTTTACTACTACTCTATTGTCACTCAGCTACACTATTGCCCCTCCCCCTTTCCTTCAAGTTATACACAAAAGTATAAACCAATTCATAAATCAAATATTACATTACCTTCATGTTCTCTTAAGAGTGAAGAAACTTCTTTTTTTTGTTTCCTGCTGACTTGACTGGCCTGCAGGAAGCGTTTGTGCCTTTGTGCCAGGCCCAGATGCTTCACAAGCAGGCCTTAACGTTGATGTCCACCTCCTCATGTCATCATCATCCTTGGCTTGGAAGAGATACTCCGAACCATTAGAAAGCCTGTTTCATTAATAAAATTAATGTGTGGAAATAAGCTAGCTAAGAAATAGTTTGTTTTTTTAAATAAGGGATAGAAGAAAAACACAATATTTCAAAATAAAGAGACAAATCTACAGAAAACAAACTATTAAGTTTTTAAATAATTAAAGGATTTATAATAAATATGACATTAAAAAAAAAATCTAACTTCTTGTCTTATAACACTATCCACCCTAAGGAACAGAATAAACTTGAATTTCAACTTAAATATATTAGTGAGTTATTAGTTTGGTGCCTTCCATACTGAGTGAAACAATGTCTTTATGACAGTAATACACTTTCTGCATGTATTTAAGCACAGATTCTGGGAATTTTATGTGTGTTAAGATTCTTCTGACAGTCTATTAATACACTTTCTGCATGTTTAAGGCACAAATGCAAGCAATTTTCTGTTTGTTCACATGTACAGACATATGGAACGAAACAAACTTGCGAGGAGCTGTAATGAATAGGAGATTAAATAGGCTATTTATATTTTCTCAGACCTGATCATGAACTTATACATAATATGACTTTATAGATCAACAAAAGTTCAGAATTCTTAAAATATAATAAATATCTACTACATTTATTATAGTAGATATTTATTATACAGAGTAATTCTCCAGATTAACTTATTCTCCAGATTTGAACCCCATTGAGCATTTATGGGATAACCTCGGAAGACGAATAACACTTCCTGATACACTGCAGGACCTTGAAAGGGCTCTTCGGGAGGAATGGCCTATCCTCCAGCAAAGGGACATTTCCCGACTGGTGGAAAGTATGCCGAGGCGTCTTCAAGAAGTAGTGAAGGCAAGAGGAGGAAACACGCGCTTCTAAACGATGATGTAATTAACTTCTATTAGAATAATAATGGTTTGTTTTTCAATTTTTTTTTCTCTAATCTTTCTTACCAATCACATTTTGATTATTAAAGGAAAAAAAAGGATTATAAAATTCCATAAATATTAAGTATCTACAAATACCATGTATTATATACAAATGCAACTTTTTTTACAAGTGGCAGAAATATTTTTATATGAAAACATGAAAAAATCAAGTGGGTGGAATTTTTTGCCTGTCAGTGTATATATATATATATATACACACACACACACACATATATATATATATATATATATAGATATATATATATTTTTTTTTTTTTGCTGATAAATTTAGTAAAGATTTATCTATTAAAAAAAAAAAATCAGAAGCATTTATTAAAATCCAAATACTTTGACTAATATATTATAAACTTATATATATATATATATATATATATATATACATATATATATATATATATATTATATACTTATATATATAAGTATATAATATTAAATTTAAAAATCCGATTTTTTTTCTAAAGAAATAAAGTAATACTGTATGTAAGAAACCCCTCACCTCTATGTCTATAATATTAACAGTAAACTGGGTCTGAATGCAAAGGATGAGAAAACCATGAATTAAAGTGGGCGAGGGCGTGTTGTTGATCCTGCCTGTCTTAAAAGTTAATTATTTTGGAAGCCAGTCAAAAAATAAACTTATCAAAAAAAAAAAAAAAAAAAAAAAAAAAAAAAAAAAAAAAAAAAAAAATATCAATGACTAATCAGTACTACTTGAGTTTATAGAAAAAATTGTAATATATAGGCTGATATTAATCAAAAAATGTTAAAATTGAAAATAAAATCATTTGAAACTGCTAAGTAACTATCATTAAACAATTGTTTAAATATTAATATAACTATCTCTACTTAGTTTACTATTGTTAATAGAGATATGAATTTAATATACAAAAACTCCGTAGTTTAGAAAAAGAAGTAATATTTGATAATTAAAAAAAAAAGTAATATTTGATTATTAAAATTACTATTTCCATCAATTAAACTTAGTTATCTCAGGGGCTGCAGCTTTAGGAGAGTTATTAGAATAAATTACTTATTAATGTTAGAGCAGTAAAAAGAAAATTAATTCATTAAAATTTTTTATGAGGCCTTTAATTTTTATGATGAATAAAAAACAATTATGGTTGCATGAAGGTATACTAGCATTAAATGAAAATTTGCTTGATTGTTGTAATCTATATATTTGTCTTTGATATTTGAAAAATTGATGCTTTACAATAGCTATATGAAAAATGTAGAAGAGATAAGAACGATTTTAAATTCAGAACAGCTGTTCCCGTGATTAAGACATTAAAAGTCATGACACTGAATTTGTTAGAAAAAAATCTGGTGCAGTGTATGCATCATGTAACTTTCACTTACCACCATCTTAACAGAAATAAGTATTTTCATACAAAGGGAAGTAAAAGTAAAAATTATAGACAGTATAAAACATTATTTAAAACAATTATTTACTATATTTTTTTCACAGATGTCTAATCGATTATATTTATTTTGTTTGACACTAGCTATTTCCTTTTACAACTGTATATTTCAATTATTTATTTGCATATAACAAATAATTAAGTGTCACTGATAAAGAAGGCCGCTATATTTATTTATATTTCATTGTGGGAATTTTTATTTATTTATAAGTACCAGTATATATACAAATTTTAATTTTTTATATATACATAATATTGTTGGAGTCCGTATTGTATTAAGCTCATGTTACGTATGAAAGCCTTTTCTAATCTTTTTGGACAAACTCGGTCGCACTTGTATTCCTTTGGTCCCTCTATAACAACTATTCTTCGTTACGATCTCTTATTTTTCCTATAATTAATTATTTTAAATAAAAAAAATTAAAGGTACTCAAGAGGAAGACATGTTGAAAAAATTGGCATTTAAGCCAAATCAGGTTGCATCAATGAGAATAAAACCTACCTTACATTAATAACTGCTTAATTTTATACAGATATAATGAATTCAATAAAAATTGTTACAGTCGTTTTCAAGAAAATTGTAAAAGTGCCACACCTGGTTATCTGGTTGTAACATCCCAGATATATGCACCTTAAATATGCAATTTCACTTTCATATGACTTTTAGTTTTTAAGCTAGACTGACAAACACACACACACACATGCACACAGACCATTTTGGGAGACTTGGTTATTTGTACTCAGCAGATCTCAAAACATGTATTTCTGTTGCAAATCCAGATTCGAAAATTTTCACAATCGCAATTCTTACCCTCATAGGCGTAGACTTTAGATTTTTATTAGAGGAGAGTGAGATAGACGAAAAAAAAAAAAAAAAAAAAAAATGGCAGCAGTTTTTGAGTAAAATTTCAATTTCAGCGTAATTATTGTCAAACGAACACGTATAATATTGAATATTTAAAATTTGTTTATATGTGTGTATAGATGTAAGAATTTTTATTTTTTGTTTTAATTATAATATATACTTGAAAATATCTAAATAAAAAATACAATTGAATAAATAATATATACGCTAAGTTCCGTTTAAAAAAAGTTATAAATTATTTGTGATTTTTTTTTTTAACATCCCTTAACTGTACTAGATTTAACCCACTTTTAGAAAAACGTCCTTGTTTAATAAGCTTTAAATTCATATTAATTAAGTTGAGAGCTCATTACAAAATAAGTTAAAATCCACCTCAAGTTGAGAACAAAAATTCTTTTAGAAAAACATCCTTGTTTAATAAGCTTTAAATTCATATTAATTAAGTTGAGAGCTCATTACAAAATAAGTTAAAATTCACCTCAAGTTGAGAACAAAAATTAAGTATTTTGATATTCTGTCCCCTATAGGTACCAGTGTTTTCAGCAAAAATGACTACAATAAATTATTTCAAAGCTTTAATTTATTTTTCCCTTTACCTGAGAAGTTAAATACCAACATAAATTCGTAAATATGCATATTATTTATTAAAAAAAAATGTTAAAAATAATAATTTTTCGAATAATTGTTACTCGTATTTATTAATATATGTTTATGATAATAGATCCCCGGTAATGGGAAAAAATAAATGAAAGCTTTGCAATAATTTATTGTTGTCATTTTTGTTTAAAACACCAGTACTTATAGGTGGCAGCATATCAAAATGATAATGAAACTGTGTTTTTTATAAATGATCAATTAAATGTTTCCAATCCTAATATTTAGGATTTCATGAAAATAATTCCAGCAATCAGCAAGCTTCTTTATTTTACAACCAGCTATAAGGATTGGAAACATTTAATTGGTCACTTATGAATACAGATCAATGTCTATAATAGAGATATTAACAAAAAAAAAAAAACCTAAGTTTTATTATTACTTCAGATGATGAATATTAGAAAAACATACATTATTTTAACCATTTTTATTGTAATAAATAAAAACTGTATTTATTAATATATGTTTATGATAATAGATCCCCGGTAATGGGAAAAAATAAATGAAAGCTTGGCAATAATTTATTGTTGTCATTTTTGTTGAAAACACCAGTACTTATAGGTGGCAGCATATCAAAACATCTCATTTATTTTGAGCTGAGAACTTAAAGAACTTGAGCTGAATCTCAACTTATTTCGTAACAAGCCCACAACTTAATTAATATGGACTTAAGCTTATTAAACAAGAAAGTTTTTCTAAAATTGGGGTGTCAATAGTGTAGTTGGATGGTGGGTGATTAATAAAAATCGTGAAGAATTCATAAAAAATTGTTTATAGTACAACTGAGCTTAGTTTATTTACTCAAAATTCCTCTTTAAATGGATTTAACAGTAACAAACTTTATTATTATATTACTTATGGGAAACCCTGTGTATTGTTATCTTTGAATATAAGGGACAATTTAAATAAAAGTAATATTTAGGTATCAATGAAATAGTTACATACATACTACAAGGCCCTAGCCCTAGCCTAGTCGACTTTCCTTAATCGATTTTAGTTTATACATTTTATTCATTCATTTATTTAGCTTATTTGTTATTGATTTTAATTTATTTTTTATCTAAAATTATTAGGGAAGGGTATGATATTCTCACCCCCTCAACATTTTTATTGGGGGAGAGAGAGGCGATTATCCTCCCTCCCCCTATAATCTGTGCGCATGCTTACCCTTTCTATATATTTCACATTTAGGTAAGTGAAAGTAAAAAGATGAAATGCAAGCCTGTTTTCGAAGTGAGGTAGTGTTATGTGTTGGTTGGTTTAAAGTTGTTACCAAGTTGCTGGTCTCATGTGTTAAAGTTCTTAATAGTGGAAATACTGTCGACTTTAGAACGAATAGCAGAAGTTATTTGGAGGTGGGATAAAATAATTATTGTCAAAATAAAATAAATAAGAAGCCTTATTTTATAGCATGCCAATATTTTATCAGCTATAGTTTATTATATAGTTAGTCAGCACTCAAAAAAATGAGGTTTTTTATTTGTGAGTTATTTTATCTATGACAGAATCCCTAACTTACTTTTCCTACAACTTATTCTACAGTCAACAACATCTCCAACATTCTAATATTTTTAGAATTTAATAGGAAGGTGTGAATAAACATATCTAAAAAAACATAAAATGGCTTGGTGAAAAAATGTATTAATAATATGGGTGTTACAGACAAACTACAGCTCAACCAAGATTAGTTGGCAGGCCAAAGGTGGACACATGTGGCACTGTGTTGAAACTAACATTTTGTTTTTTCTCTAACCCCCGGATATTAATTATATATTGAAAGATAAAAATATCTGGTTATTTATGGCTCTTTATGAACAATGTTTCACTGTGTCCATATCAGAGGGGTTCATTGCAAAAAATGTCTAAAATCTTTTACTTTAAAACCATAAAATCAAGACTCTGTTAGAAGAAATTTTGTCTTATACTTCAGTAAATAGTTAAATTATTAAAATAATGACTTACTTGACCCTGAATACATGTTTCTTTTTCGTGTAATCAGTTGCGATGTCCACAGATGCACCACTGAGATCTATTGGTGCCTCTCCTTTGTAATAAGAATCTGGAGAACTCTTAGCTGACTTGGCATCTTTATATGCCAATAATTGATGACCTCTTACAACTACATAGACTTCATTCCACGACCTACATAATTAAATATCAATACAAATTAAAAATACTAGTGAAAAAAGTAAGTTATATTAATAAAATTGATTAAATATTTCAAAATTTATGTCATTAAATAGCAATAGAATATTGTTCATTCGGAAGATTATCACATCTTAAAAATTAAAATATAAAAAAATTGATGAAATTTTAAGGCTGACCGGCCACCGAAAGTACAGCAACTTGCCTTGCATCGGTATTCTTCTTATATTCCATGTAACATTTTTTTTTTTTTTAAATATATAACATGTATAACATTTAAAAAAAAATAGAAAAGTTGATCATGTCGAAGTTGAAAAGAAAAATTGAATATTTGTGTATAAAATCAAACATTTTCCTTTACACATTCAATTAACAATTCTTCCCCATCCATTGCATTGCATACTTTACACTGAACCAAAATAAAATAATTTGAGAAGTTTTGCACTGAAAGCGAGCAGAAAAAAAGGATGACACTCAGGAACAAACCTCCACGGTTGTGTGACAGTGGGTGGGGGAAGCTGAGCGCAGCAGAGTCAGCTTCCAAAACCAAACCCTGGTCGAGAAAAAGCTGAGCTGAGCTAACCCTTGCAATGTTGCTCAACTGCGCTTAGCTCAGTTCCGCTTCTGGTGGCCGGCCTGTCGTAAAAAACCTTTGGTTAGGTTTTGGAAGCTGACTCAGCTCAGCTCCGCTGCGCTTTTGGGAGCCAATCAGCCTAAGATCTATGGTTTGCAGATTTTATTGAAGAGATTATTTGAAAAGCAGAAACTGTTCTTAAGAACACAATTTTTATATGGGTCATCTAGATAAAATATTGTAACTTCTTAAAATAATATTTCATAAATAATTTTGAGTTCTGATGGTCTTCTTCCAGAAGGTAACAATTAACACTAGTTATTAAAAATTAATAACATAATTTAAATTGTCATTTAAATATTTAGACCACAGAAAACTTCATAGTTGCAAAATTTTTCTTCACCATTATATGAAGATGTGGAAACAGTTCCAGATAAGTTACAAAAGAAATTTTAAAAAATCCGAATTGTTAATATAAATCACAATTATATACATTTGGAAAAATTTACATAAATATGCACAAATAATTATAAATTTTTTGAAACCACTTTTGTTATTTTTCTTCTGTATTCTTTCCTTAGATGGCCAGGTCAGGGATTAAATGAAAAATTTTGAAGTCCTCCAAAGCTTCCGTAATGCATTCTATGCTCCTCAGTCGGAGTTGCAAGATCTGTCTTAGGAGACTGATTCTATTTTCAGCAAAGATCCAGAGAATAGAACTTGTACATTTGCAATACACGCTTGGCATTCTGTTCTCCTTCTCAACACTTCCAGAGAGAGCTAAAATTAATACAGAACTTTCTGTATTGGTGGGCTTTGAGCCTGTTGTGTCGCATTCACAAAGGGAAGATTATGACCTACTTTCGTCAAGCACAATTGTGGATAGCTTCTTTGGGGTTGTGGTGTGGATAACTTCTAATCCATCATTGGTTCATATTAGTTTTATTTAGTGTTTCCACTTATGTTTTAAAACAATTATTTTCTAAAATTATTATCTTAAATAGTTTTTACCTAAAAATATAGTCCAATTGATAGCAAAGAACCAATGTCAAATTAAATAAACTGTTTGCACACAATATTTTTGCCTTGAGACTAATATATTGTTTATAGGAATAGTTTTTTTCTCAATACCGCTTATACTCCCAATGCATTAGGATGAAGAAGAATAGATATATAATCTGAGAGTTCTCACATAGATATGATAGTCCTAAATAATATATTTATATATCACTACTAATATATCACATAATAATAATACATCATCTTATCTGCCATTTATGGCATATGGTTTTTTGCCAGCATTAGAGATACACTGATGGCAACTAAATATCTTGAAAATGGTATACCAATGAAGATATCTTTTCTTCATTAAAATTATTCTTTATATAATTACAAAAAAAGCTTACCTGTTGGAAGCTTTCTTAAGTGCCTCCCAGACATGCTTTCTGCTTAAAGTATCCTCTATGAGGCATTCGTCTGCAGATGGACTAGGTCTCTCTGTAACATATTAATTATAAAAATTAACTCATTTTAACAATAAACAAAACATATTTAAAACATAAAACAAATTAGAGTTAAAAAAACAAAAAATATACCACAAAAGATTAAATTGAAGAAAATATAAGTAATTAACGTGAACATTTTTATAGTAAATTTATTGACTAAGTTCTTAAAATTCTTAGAATTTTTAATAGTGAACCAGAAATAAAAAAAAAATATATTCAAATTTAAATTATTGAAATTTGAGAAATTATTTCCTTTTATATTTAACTTTATTTCATTCAATTTATAATTCAATATGACCACTTCAATAAAAATGTTATAAGTAATAAAACTAATAAAATATATAACAAAGAATAGTCAAAATACTCACATACAGCATATAATAAAATTATAGAAAAATAATAACAAGATAGTGAATTGTAAGTTGAAACAAAAAAAAAAAAAAAAAAAGAAAGTGCAGTCAAATTACAAATTACTACTAAAAGCAATTAACAACAACATAAATAACATGTATTCAAATAAATTAAAAAAAAAAAAAAAGAAAAAGGAAACATGTATAAAAACCTTTAATACCAATGTGAAAAAGAATAAAAATACATACTGATGCTTAATTCTCTGAAAGAGTATGCACGGCATGCCATTTAAATAGGATGTATGACTGACACACTTGAACAAAATAAACTGGTAACTACAATCTGTCCATTAACTAACTGTTTCCCTTGACACAGCTCAGAACAGAAGAAATAATCAGATTTATTTTTAGCCTATGGATTCAGGTTATAAAAGCTCGAGTATTAGAATTGCAGGCAGTCAATGTGTTTCAAGGGTAAATATTAGCACAGTTAATGAAGAAACAATCAAAGCTCACCTAATAAGGAATATTCAGCAGGAGCAGAGAAAACAAAAAGAAAAACAACTGACAACTATAAATAGTACAGTAACCCTTTGTAAAACTTTAAGGATCTCCCATTAGTATTCAAATCTGATAGAATTTAGTACAGGAACGAATTGATTATTTCTTTCAATCACTATGAGATCAATTTTATTCACCATGTAATAAATTGATTCTAAAAGTAAAATATTCTCTGAACAAATTAAATTGCTGTGTTAAAATATAATCACTGATAGCAACATGCATCTTGATTAACAACAAATGTTGCTAAAGAAATGAATAATTCACATCTTCAAAACAAAAAATAATAAATTATTAGTAGAACTTGAATTAATCATCAGAAATTTATTTAAACCATCAGATTTCTGTAATAGCTGATTTTGCTTTACAAAAACTTAAATAACAATAAATTAAAATTTTTAAAATAAAGGAAACAAGATTCATCTTTCAAAGAGAAAAAAAAAATAGATATTATGAGTTTTAGAAATAAATAATTGGTACAAGAAGTTTCCTTGTCAAGCAACTATCCAGGGAGTAGCAACTCCAACACATAAGTGTCATGTTACATAAATAATAAGAGGAGGTGGGGACAAAATTCTCTTAGCAGTCCTTCACTAGATTCTTACAACTGACATGGCGTCATTAATTCAAAACAAAAATATTAGCTGCCACTTAAAAGACGTCTCAGTCATCACTCCAATCTTTTAACTAATAATCGAGCATATCCTAAATTCAAGGCAATACTCTATTTCATTCAATTTAATTTAACATTTTCAACGTTTTTAGACAAATATAAAATTTAAATAGTAGTTTTATTCATAATACTATGAAGAAAAAAAAATTATATTAGAACATTATGAGTAAGTTTGAATATAATCATGGTAAAACATCCCTGAAATGGATTTTTAATTTTAAAAGTTAATTAAAAAGGTGAGATTAATAAATGGGAGAGTTAACTTAAAAATATTAGAGTTCCCATAAACTAACCAAACTAAATCATGAAAACAAAAAATATGATTTTTCTAAGAAAAACATTATGCTTAAACTCAGAGAAATTTAATAAAACTTTAATTTTATATACTATATTTCATAGTAGGATTAATAAATCTATTGCCATTACTTTAATGGAATTTCTTCAATAATCAACACTATTTAAAATGAATAATCTATATACAATAAAATTAATAATATGAAGGAAGATGAAATTTCCTTCCTTCAATATTTGTTCACACATAAAATCACTTTATCTACTTTTACAGGACATAAACATAAACAAGTAAGCATGAGAAAATAAAGTAATGTATGGTATAAAGTAAGGATAAGTACAAAGTAGGAAGTTTATTACATGTGACAAAAAATAATGGAATTTATCTATCAATTTACTAATAAATGCACTATTATTACGAAAACAAAAGCAGGCAGGGAGAAGAATGAGCTTCATACTAAACATCAATACTGCAATCAACAAACATGAGATGACCACATCACTTGACGCTAAGAGCTGTTCTTCATAGATACAATAATTATTGCAAAGCTGATATTTACTTTGCAAAAAGAAACTTAAGTGTTCTATAGTAAAACCTTGATTATCACATATTTAACATCATTTCAATCAATCGGTTAAGACATTAAGAAAAGAATGTTTTCTTCTTTTAAAGCTCAACCAGAATTAGTTGACAGGGCGAGGGTAAGTAAACAGAGCATCCACTAAGTTAAAACAAACATTTTGTTTATTATATACATGAATAGCCCTCATTGCTATAAATTTTCAATAGTGTTTGACAAAATTAAATGCTATGGGGAGCTACTGGGTAGCATAGAAATTTTCATAATGAAGTCACCTTATATCTCAAAACTGACTTCTGGAGCATGTGCCTTTCTTGCAGCTCCCATCTCTCCATATCGTAAATACTCTTACTCATTAAAGTTTTTAATTTTTTAAATGTTTTGTGAGTGGTAATGCGTCCGTTTTCTAAATTATTTTTGGATTTAATTACAGTTAAACCCATCCATACATGTGCAAACGAAAATCTTTGTAAGCAGATGGAATTTTTTAGAGTAAAAAATTCTGATATTAAATAAAATATGTATACAATAAATAAAATTTTAGCCATCAAAAAAATTAAATATTATGAACTTCGTTCTTACCCAAAAAAATTGGGAAAAATTTTAATCTATTAATTTTCAAATTATATAATACTATTGGCATTTATTGTATGTATGTATGTATGTATGTATGTATGTATGTATGTATGTATGTATATATATATATATATATATATATATATATATATATATATATATATATATATATATATATAGAGAGAGAGAGAGAGAGAGAGAGAGAGAGAGCAAGAGAGAGACAAAAATGAAGGATGGTTAAGGCAGCAAAAGGTCTGTAATGCCAACAGAATAAAAACAAAAAAACAGATAGCCAAAAATTGTTTCCCAACTTTACACAAGGTAATCAAGGTTTTACTGCAATTGCTTCTGTCGACAATACGAATAATTCTTTTTTTTATTTCTAATTATACTTAAAAACCTACTTGCAGCTGCAGCAAGATTGTCTTCATCATCACTGACAGCAGAAGATTTTGCACCACTGCTGCCACCAGATTTCTTCCATCTGAAAGATCTGAATGGGCTCTTGGAGCGAGACCTCTTCACCTTTCTACCCGGTGACAGTGTAGCATCCTTGTCTTTCAGAGCTAAGCATCACACACAACACACACATACAATACTCACATGGTTCTCCTTAGCATTATTTCCCTGATAGCTATCAAGTAAATTGTTTTCAAATTCTGCCTTTTTTAACTTTTACTGCACCTTGAGATTGTGATAAATAAAAAAAGGAACATCAAGCCTAATAGAAAAACAGTCAGGCCCTATTTTGAGAACGGTTTATTTTAAAAATGAAGAGCATGAACATTTAATAAAAATAATTGCAACTTTTACAGAAAACAAAAAGTTTGCTGGATATACTGCATTTTAATAGTTAGAACTAGCATTTTTCATAATTTTGATAACACAGTCAACCCCGAGGGGCTAAGATGATGAAAATAATGTATTATTTGGAATATATTTAATAGAATTTAAAAAAAATTAATAATATAAAATAAAATGTGCATTAGACATTCATGTTTAGTTTGTGAGTGTATACCAGTGTTTCTCAATTGATAATATTTTGCTGGACATTAAATTTTTAAAAATCAGAATTGATTACAGAAGTATATAAAAGGATATACCTTGCTGGGGATGGGTTAATAATGAGGTACAAATTTAAATGTTGTTTACTAAGACTACTCAAAGATATACGATTTGAGTTTTAAATTATGAACCACCCACCTTGTTCTGATTGCATCTTCTACCTCACTTTTTCCAATTTTAGATAGTCGTATTTTTCAATATATCAAAATGAAAATAAAAACTTAAACTAAGAACAAACAACGAAACCAGTTTCAAAATGGTACCCAAGAACCATGAAAAAATAAAATAAATTATTTTACTAACAAAAGTATGTTATTGAGTTACATTAGTAAATACTCCATATTAACTGGGAAAGCACTATAATTTACTATTTTTTAATGTCAGTACTAATCCGTGTCAGAATATTATCGTTTAAACTATTAAGTTGTTTTAAGTTCTTTCCATATTTTATTAGAGCTAGTTGGCAGTCAAAGATATGACATCAATATCTCCTGGAGGAATCTGACTAGGGTCAGAGCAATAATTTTGTCATCATAGAAGAGAAGAGCTTTGATAACAGTCATGTTTTAACAGTTTTCATATTTTCTTTAATGGTTTTTAACCCAGTCAAACAAAACTTAATGAAAACTGTTTAACATTAAAACAAAATAATTATAAATCAATTGTACAGGATAGAATTAAAAGCATTATTCATTACATCTTATATCTTTTAGAAATTTCTCTGTAAGATATTCAGATTGAAATTTTTTAGTAATTAAAGTATTATCACACATGAAGTAACTGTTACTAATCACACTGATAAAACATAACCTGCTGTGACTTCATTACAAATATATTAATTTACTATTGAAATGATTGTACCGATAATAGTAATTACTGTCTATTGTAATAAATTTCTGCCTTTGCCATACAGATAACCATGAAATTTAAGTATAACATTTTATTTAACAATAGTTCAAATTAGAATATTAAAGCGAGAAGCATTTTTATTACCACACTAAGTAGTCTCAATGACAAACACAAGCAGTAAATGGTTGGAAGCAATGGATGTCAGAACTAGCAAAATTCCATCTTCAGACAGCTCAAGAGACAATGACATTTTGTTATGGCTGATAATATATAATTATTAACAGAAATGAATCTACTAAGATAAAACATTATGTCAGAAATATCCATAAGGTATTTATTTAGCAAAAAATAAAGACTAGATTCAATTTAAATAGAATTCATCTTATTATAAAAATACCAATGTCCATTAAGAGCCTATTAATTGTGTATCAATTGGACAAATGCTTCTTTTTTATTAAAGTATAAATACAGATTTAAGAATATATACTGTAAACCAGATTGTATTCATCTGTAACTGATTAAATGTAGTTTGCTGAGGAGTTTTGCTCAGAAGCTCTCAAGTTTTCATTGGATCCGGATGAAATTTATATGGGACCAGCCTAAAGTTGTTGGCATTTAATTAAAACCAATCACTGAAAATGGTTTAAGAATGGTGAAGTTATGGATGAACATACATAAAACAAGAAGTTGGATTGAGACCTACTTTTTTGAACTTGGTTAAAAATAGCTTTTATTATTTTTTTCTTTTAAAGGAACAGAACATTTAAAATTAAATAAAAAAAATGTCATTGCGAATTGTAGGAAATAAATAATTGGTTGATTATGAAAAAACATACCTGTGATTAATTAATAATTAAATGATTATATACAATTTAAAATATTATACTTCTTTTTTACCTAATTAAATTCTGAAGACCAACATAGGTCGAGAAACATAGGTATATACAAAACAACACATGCAAACATAAGATCTACAAAATTCATATTGCTACTAGTATTATTAAACCAAAAAGAATTTTTATTTAGAAAATTAAAATATTAAATTACACAAAAAATAACATAGTCAATGCAGTATACCCAACTATATTAAAAACGGAATCTTTTGTATATATGGTGTTAAATTAAAAGCAACTTAACTGTTTGATTTCATTGACTGGCAAATTTCCAAATAAATAAAGCAATCAATATTTGGTAAGAACTTTAGATTATTGTTATAACATAGACAGTAACCATATTAAGAATAAATAAACTTAAATACCTTAACTTATTTCTATACTTGTAAGATAGTTAGAATGTTAAATATAGACCTCCACCTTAATATGAATTAATGTATATGATTTTTCTCTCAATGTAGCTTATAAAATGCAAACCCACACCTTCCAAATTTAAACTACAACTTACAAGTGTAGTAGGACTCATTTTAGTGTATTAAAAAGAAAATGCTAAAAAATTAGGACCTTCAGATACCCATTGAATAATAAAATTGGTGAGAATATCATTTCATAAATGTAGTTGATGCAGGTGGTGTTATATTTAGGTTGACAGTATAGTATATACGAGTTAAGATAAAATTACAAAAATTTAGTTCTTAGTTTGTTAAATTTTAATAGTTTGTCTCTAGCATCAGTTCCTTATTAAACTGCTAATTTCAAATATACCATTCTGCAATTTTAGTCAGAGTGAGATTTATGAAATAAAAAAGATTCGTCTGAAATATTAGAGCCTAAATGTAAAACATACGGCAATTAGTGACTTTTCTACATTTATTTTTTTAATGTTTCATGCAAGAACTAACAATTGATTTATTTTATCAGTTTTATATAAAATAATCCTTTTAAAAATTTACAAGTACAACAACATGAGAATTTTTATACCTTTACTTCCATATAAAAGTATGAAAAAAAATATGATACTGGGAAATTATTAAATCCTCCAAGTCATAACTGACATAGATGGTATAAGTAAACAAAATTAAACAATAACAATGAATCTACTTGCTAAAAACGGTTTGCTACTGGAAAATGAGGAGAGATTACACTTCAGTTAACAAAATGTATTAGGTAAATGTCTCAGCCCCAAAAAACAATGCATAGACTGGCATATTTTTAAAGATATCCCTGGTAAGAATCTCAAACATTTTTAGACAATGGTAGAGTGAATTTTTTTTTTAGTTAATATAACTGATCTTAGATGAAGTCATCAAAGACTTATTCAAGAAGACCACTGGCTGTGACCAGAAGATCAAAGACCAATGGCAACTTTGATTTGAATTTTGATCATCATTTCAGCTTATAAGGAATTCAAGATAAGGAAAGAATGCCTTTAATAATAATTACTTTGGAAGAAAAAGAAAGACACCAAATCGTATAAGAAATGGTTTTTAAGTGATTCTTAAGGTCTTGTTAAATGTAATTAATGAACAATAAAACTTTTCAGAGATAATTTTTTAAAAATTATTTTGTTTTTACTATTGTAAGGTAAGATTTTTCTTTTTTTTACTTTCACTTATCATAGTATGAAGCAAAAAGTAAAGGAAAGTGTGGTGATCATGGACAATTTTGAATCAGAGTTTTCAACAGGAATACATATTTTAAGATCCTCTAAACCCAAATAACCACGTATTTCAAAATAGTCTGTGAATATTCTAGCTAGAAAATGAAAAGTTGTCGGTAACTCATAGGCATAGAGCATCTGTGAGAAGCCTTGAGCTTAGTTTGGAAAACTACAAAAGCTTGCATGCCTTATGATGACTGGTGCTATGAGCACCACTTCTGAACCTTACCACCATTGCGAATAGAGGTGGAAGCAAATGCTTTAAGAAATATTTACAGTATTGATATGTCAGGAACAAGATCAAAATCTTTGACTTATCATAGACATGGGAAAGTGTTTGAAAAAATTTAGAAGAATGAGGTGCTTTTGATGAACTCTTGACTTCCAAGTTATAACTATAGATATATTTACTATAGTACAACAATTGGCAGGACCAACTCTCCCAGACTCTGTAGGACTGACTCTCATGGACCCTGCAATAGAGTCACAGCTGTTACACTGATGGGTTCTAGACAGGACAAGGCTTAGGAGCTGGCTTCTGGAGAATGATTAAACCCAATGAGAAACATCCTCATCTCAAGATAGTTATATCTTTGTCTTCAGGCTAAGGTATTAGCCATTAATCTCTGTACTCAATCCCTAATAATGGAGGAAATAATGAACAGGTTAGTATATATATTTACGGACAGACAAGCAGCTAATGGTGCCTTAAATGGCTATGCCACTCACTCTAAGTTGGTGGATGAATAAAAGGAAATTTAAACATTCATGGTAGAACGAAGAAGGTGAAGGTTGAGTGGATTCCTGGACAATCAGGAATGTTAGGTTGATAGCCTCAATAGGAAGGGCTCAGCACAGGTGCCTTCAACATCAGAGCCCATTTGCGGTATTAGCCCCAGCTGTGCCAAAAGACATATTAAGGTAGCTGTTGGTGACAAAACCAAGCTGTATTGGAAGCACACTAGGAAATAGCACCAGATTTTTTAAATTCATTGTAAATACAAATGAGGTATGAAAAATTTCATAACATTCAATTTTGTATTAAAGTTTAAATTCATTAAATTATAAATTTTGTAGCATGATTTATGTTTTTTTTTTTTACTGCACTCTCGCATATGTAATCCCCACATATATTATTACAGCAAGCCTAGAAATCGGTTTTGTACCAAATATAAGCTCCTGTCATGCTCAAATAAAATGAATGGGGTACCGTTGGATTCAGAATTTCATGGGGTTTAGCGAATCGTATTCTCCATTTTCGTTTTTCTTTCTAAAAGAAAGAAATTCGATACAAACATTTTGCTAGTCTTCAATACTGGAACGGTGGTAAGTCTGTAGATTAATACGGGACAAATTGGGCTTTGAAGATTTTGATGGGTGCAGCAAGACCCGGATAGTTCCTTTGGAACTATCGGGACCTTCGTTATTAAGTCCAAAAATGTACTATTTTCGAGATAACGCAAGGCTTAGGGTTCCTTTCCATACAACCTTATGTCAATTATAGTACTGTCATTGAAAACATGTCTCGTTTCGTCGACTTGAGGCCTCTATGATCGAGATAGGAGGAGTTTATATTATTTATCGATGGTGTTTTTGATCGGCAAGCCATATCATCGTTAATTTTTCACCGAATCTCAAGATTGAGCCACCAATTTTAAATGCTTCCTTCTCCTTCAGGGGGGCAAAATAGTTCAAACACCCCGAAAATTCAGGCAAACAAGTTATGAAAAAAAGAAACTTTATTTTCGAATAACTAAAAAATTACATAATTTTCCCTGGGTTATGTCCATGATTATATAAAAGATGATCGAAATCGGACAATTTTGAATAAAGATACAGCTTATTGAAATTTGTAAACATGTTGGTTCCAAACAATAATGAAGTTTTAAATTACTTTTTATTTCCTTTGTCGATTATATTTATCGATAAAGTAACAACAGATTTCTTTATCTTATGATACGTTGCATTATTTTATTTTATTATTAATTTGTCATTTTATCACTTAACAATATGGTGTGTGAAAAATTTGCACGGGCCTACTAGTATAAATTAAAGACAGACTGCATGTATTAGTTATTAGATTGAAGGCTTAAAGACATGAATCAGGAGAAGAAATATGTATTGAGAAACTGTAAGTCAATAGGATAAGAAAAAATATTTTTTTCAACATCAACCAGAGAATTCAACCCACACTGATTTCATGGTAACTAGGAAGAACTGTAGTTGAATGTAATTTTTTTTTTTTAAATTTAGAATGAAAACTGCGAGGAGGTTTGTCCTTCTAAGTTATTATTAAAGAAAACAGTATATATATTTCATACACAATTTATAAAGAATTGATTAGATTTTTTAAGTACCCGTTTTTGTAGGTATAGTTAAAAATAAAGGCTAACAATCAGTTTTTATCAGTCACAATATTTTTCTCTTATTATTTTTTTGTTTCTGTTAATATAACATGTCAACTAAAGCAAACTTAGTTATGTATTATAATATACCATATTTATATAGTGCAGCATTGTTTTAATTAAATGGTAAACATGCTTTGATCATTGATGAGTACCTATTATCAATTATGTTATTCTTGTCGATGATATTATGTTATTATTCCAGCATTAAAAAATATAATTATGTATATATTAACATATAAAACATTAATCTTATCTTTTCAAGCCAATGAAATGAAGATGAAAACGACATTATGTGTTTGAGTGAATTTTAGTGTAAACTATTACTATTACCTTGTATTGGCTGGACTCGCTGAGGTTTTGGAGGTGAAGGCGGGTACGTAGCCTGTGCGACAGGCACACCTTTAGGCGGTTCATCATCCTTAAGTTCGTCTACTGAACATGCACAATCACCATGCAAATATCTATCTACTTCATAACCCAATGCTTGGAATCAATTACTCTAAATATATCTTAAAACTAGAAATTGTATTATACCTACTTCACAGGTAGTGGGTATAACATTGATACAAATAATTTGTAAAGGAACAAAAAAATAACATGCACACAAACTTACCTTCACCCAGGATTAGGTAACCTTCACCATATCATGTGTACTATGAGACAACAAAGCTCTATCTATTTGTTTAATTAATATATAATTAGCATTTACTCTTCACAATCATTTTTTTTTTTTTTTTTTGTCCAATTTAAGCTTAAGCCACAAGTGGTTTGCCATGCATACTGCAACTTTGCTGTGCCTGACTACGATTTTTTTGTGTGTGTTAACACAAAACAAGTTATGAGCAACATGGTCATTAAATAATATTAATAACAATCACAAGATCACCAACGCACATCAGTTATTTTAAAAAATGGAAGCTATTGGAGACAAAACCAAATGAAAATATATTTATTTACAAAGTAATCGAGAGTTTAGTTGAATCCCATGAAAAACTATTTACATTCTTTAAAATACTTTTTAAAAACTATTATTAAGATAATTTTATTTTATTTTCTGTTAATGAATTCACGATAATGAAATAAAATGAAGTTATGACCAATTAGTGCAGTGGTGTATTACAATAAAATAAATATATCAAAAATTGTCCTATTCATGGATTTGTTTTACCCATGACTAACCTGATGGTTTATCAATCGGTGTGATGGAAAGCTGGGTCGGAGGGGGCTTGCGAACTGAGGCTTGAAACACAATACATCAATGTACAAACACAAAAGCTAACACATTTAGCCTAAGTGGGCATATTTTTGAACATTGTATAAATAATAGAACCTCTCAAGTTCTAATAAGGATCAGAAATTTAAAAAAGAAAAAATTGAAATTGATATAATGAAATATGTCCATAGCTCAAGTCTTAGCAATAAAAATAAGTAGTAAAAATAAAAATATTGAAACATTAAATAAAGAATAAACCAGCAATAACATCATTACATTATTAAAACCAAAGAAAATGAACTATAAGTACTTAAAAAATTATGAATACTAATAGCAAATGAATACTAATACTTGTTAAGAGTAACATTAATTTATTTGTTATGTATATATAACCATATAACTTATAATATTGCCTCACATAGAGATTTAATTTTAAGTGAGGTTTATTAAAAAGTTGTGGTTTAAAACTTCTATTTCCCTTATGCCTGGAATGCCAATTCTATCAATAAAAATCACATCTGCTAATTGTTACGGGCTGTGACAGGTGTGGATTTAAAAAGTATATGTTAAAAAAGTTCTTCAATTAAATAAATTCAAACATACACATTATTTATTTTAGTTTGAATGGTTTTCTATTCACAGTGACACTATGTTAACATGACAGCTAATTCTTTCTTGAATCCTTTAATAATACCTATTTAATATTCACATATTTTTATTTATTGCAGAATAAATGTTTGAAAAACAAATAAACCATTCAATAATAAACAGTAAGATGTATTAAAAATTGAAGAGAGCATTAAAAAAAGAGAGCTTTGATGACCCTATACTTATAACGAGGTAGTTGATTAAATTAACAATACAGGTAATTTTAAAATTCAAACCTTGTCTGTTTTTTCGCATAATATTTAAAACTGAAAAATAATGAGTATAATGTTTTCAAAGAAAGCTTGTTAGCTTCTGTAGAAGCTAAACGAGCATGATCTCTTAAAATGAATATGAATTATTTGTTAGTCTCACAGCATATTGTTTTGCACCTTAAACCTCAACAAATGATATTTTTAATATATAACTATAAAAGTTTAAATATAAATGTAGTTCATTTTCTTTTTAGGTATCCTAACTAAATAATATGTAAAGTATGAACATATTTCACTATGAGGTTCTAAAAGCACAATTCTCTATTCATTGAATGTGCTGAGGGTATATTTAGGGAATACACCAAAGACAAAAGGATAAACAGACACAAAAGGAACTCAGAAGTAAATTTACAGTTATGTTAAGTTTCCATGCTTTAAGTAGTTAGTAAATAAACATTTATTAACATTTACAAACAGAAATTTAAAAAATGAAATAGGTATAAACTATAAATTATATGCTATAAATAAAAATAGAAATTAGAGAAGAAAAGTAATAAACTTTGATTCATACAGAAATAATAATAAACTTATTTTTAAATTTTAAAAAAGTTTAAGAGAGAAAGAAATCGTATCTATATTATCTTCAAAATGAATAATTAATAATAATAATATTATAGAGATGGTTGACTGTAATGATAATATGAGGAGTTGGTCGGGGGGGGGGGGGGGGGGGAGGGGGGAGAGAGAGGGGGGGGAGGGGCGCGGTCAAATGAATATATCAAAATAGTATTTTAAATAAATCAAATTATATAATTATACGGCCTCATATTAACTTCATAAAATTATAATACTTTTCAGTTACACATATTAGCAATAAACAAAAACAAATGAACAAGATAGGATTGTCCATAAATAAACTGAACGGATATTATAATATAACAATTAAATAGATACAAATGAGATTAAAAAAAAATACAACTTTGATTATAATCAAAGTATATCACATAATTATTAGAGAAATAATATTTTATAATTATCTTGGAAGTTAAAGTTATAGTAAAATTTGTCACACTTTACTTCCGAAACAAAAACAAGAGTAAATATATCATTTATTCCAGATGATCTCAGATTAACTACTGTTGTAATGTGAAAACTCGTCATAAATTAGGAGTCCAAGACAAAGAAGATAAAATACATGTTGGCATAGTTTATAATTTAATTTTGTTCATTTTCAATATTCAAAATTAATGGTTATTATCCCCTAACTATATTGGATACCTTTTTTTAATTAACACATCTTGTTTACTAATTTCAACACACAATCATTTAGAAACTCAATAGTAATAAAACTTATTTTTCAGGAAATGAACATAATAAAAATTCACCCGAAGTATACAACATAAGCAATTCTATGAGTGAAAAATAATTTATTTTACCGGTTGAAAACATATTAAAAGATTAGAAAATTTTAGTAATATTCTTAAGACTTATGAAAAACAATTATTAAAATTAAAAGCCAACATTCCTTTCTCTCTAAACTTATATAATCAAATATAACACTTTATTATAATGAATTTTAAACTAAAGTGAAGTTGCTTACCCTTCCTGGGCTCTGGTTCAGAAGTGGATGCACCGTTTAGCTGGCCCGTGTCTCCTTCAGCTCCATCCCCTCTATAATAAACAATAGAAGTATTTAAAAACTAGATAAAAATAAAACTGATTGATTAGACACTTTTAATTTACCAACCGAGAAGGGTAAACATATCTCATACACATATGAGCAAATGTTTGGTGTTACACATTAAATAGTCCTGAAAGAGCCTCAAATACAGTTCAAAGATAAAATTATTTATTCTCATTCTTATGTCTTGAATGACTAATGTAATTAGCAGAGTTTTGAGAAGTCATATAAATATTGTAATGCATTAATACAAATAAATAAATAAATATAAAAAAAAACAATTCTACACTTCAGATAAATATATAGATGTGAGTGTATGTTTTCAATTAAATACAAGTAACAATTGCAATATTTTCCTCTGAAGTAGAAAAGAATACTTTTTTACATTTTTCCCCATTAATATTGGAGGAATTTGCTCATAACGAATGGTAACTAACAAAATAGAAAAAATTGATGATGTAAAATTGTTTGTTTGTTACAAAGCTAACCTTCAACCAGAAGTTATTTACCATACAATACAAACACTAATCTTTAAAGAAATTAATTGTAGACAGATTCAAATTTACCTACAGAACTTTTATCCTAAGCAAATAATCATTCTCTGAAAAAACAAAGTAAATTATTTGTTAGTATCATTGAATACAAAAATAAAAACTCACCTATCTACAGATTGTTGTTTGGAGGCAGCGGCCTGAGCTGCTTGCCTTGCGGCAGCCTCCTCAGCTTTTCTCCTTTCTTCCTCTTCCTCTTTTTTCTTCAGTTCTTTTAGTTCAAACTAAAATTATAAATAATTGGTTATTATTTAAAAAGAAAAATAATTAATTTCACAAGGATCAATCTCTAAGACTAAAAAAAAATTTTTTTACAATTTCCTTATGAATAATCTAAGATTATAGCAGCTCAAAAGGCTTTTACAAGATTTTTAAAAGCTTCTATCAATTTTTTTTTCTGTAAAAAAAGGAGAAGAATGGATCCAAAACCCAAAAAGTGCCATTTAGAACATTAAAGAAGATTTTATCTACAAAAAATTAAAGAATAGATAGCTTAAGTAATACATGCAATAAAACAATTTTTTACTATATCTTCTGCATGTTATTAACATTTGTCTTTTTTTCCCTTATTCTATTTCACAACTATATACCACCTTAGTCAATTTTCATTATCACACTGCTGTTTATTTACGTGGACTTTGTTCTAATCCCTCTCCCTTATATGAGTTTGTTTGGTTTTGTTCCTGATTATTGTTTTTATATCTTTTTTTAATATATGAGCATAGTGGTTATTTACATTTTTTGTATCTGTTTTATAGTTTATTGTTTTTTCTATATTTTTAGTGATGTGGATCGCTTCTTCTGTGTTTATATATTTTGTGTTTTGTACTATGTTTATAATTTTTGTATTATTCATATCAAATCTATGGTATTTTATCATACTATGTTGTAAGAAGGCAGCTGCATTTATGTTTTTTACACTTTTGCAGTTATTGTTATGTTGGTTGATTTTAGTTTTTAATTTTTTTGAGGTTTCTCCTATATACACTTTGTAGCAATTTTTACATGCTATTTTGTTTATCTAATTTTTCTATATTGTTCTTCATATACGGTAAATGGTTTTCTAATTTATTGTTCTTATATATTACCAAGTTTTATATTGTGGTGAACATATGTGATGAGTGCTTTTTAAATCTTATTTGTCAGGTTTGGGATATATTGCATTTTTTTATATTTATTTAATTAAGTTTTATAGTTCAGTGTTCTGTTTATATTCTCTATATTGTCTTTTATTTCCTTTCTTTCTTTATTATTGTGTCTATAAAAATCTGTTATTAGTGTTTGAATTTGTTTTTCTATTTCTATTATTTCTTTGGTATTTTTATTAGTAGCGTTATTACTTCCTCGCGCGGGCTCATTACCGCGTATGGGGAGCGTCCCACGGGTGGCGGATGTGGGGATGGTCGGTGGAAATTCCTTGGAAGTTCCTCCCGGCTAAGTCCGATGGACTCGCTGACCAACAATGAGAGGGGCCCTCCAGACTTGCTGGAGGGAGGGGACCTCCAGACTTGCTGGAGGTAGGGGCCCACCAGACTTGCTGGAGGGTGTGACGTAGGATTGAACGCCCTACTCACATATCTTTAGTTCACCAAACACCACAAAAAGTCATGGATCTTCCTAAGGTAAAACGCTCATTATCCGGAAGTAAACTAGTCCCCCGTTCGGGTCTCCGGGTGGGGACTGCTTTAGGGGATTCATGGCGCAAGTTGAAATATAGGGATTTAAATATTGGTACGTGGAACGTAAGGAGTTTAAACACAGCAGGGGGGCTAAAATCGGTCGCGAATGAGGTAAATGGGTACAATTTGGATGTCGTGGCTCTGCAAGAGGTTCGCTGGCCAGGGGAGGGCTCGATGAGGGAAGGGAAGTACACTATTTGGTACGGAGGAAGCGAGAATCATTGTTTAGGTACCGGGTTTCTAATTAGGCGTAGATTACTATCCGCTTTGAGGGACGTACAATTCTTTAGTGATAGAATTTCGGTAGCTACATTTCAGGGACGTTGGTTTAAAATCGCATTAATAAACATACATTGTCCGACCGAAGACAGTGACGATGAAGTCAAAAGTGAATTTTACGATAAACTCGAATGGGTTTATGATAAACTACCACGAAACTACATGAAAATAATTGTAGGTGACGCGAACGCAAAGGTAGGAAGGGAAGAAGTTTATATTCCGACGATTGGTAAAGAAAGTTTGCACGAATATAGTAATGATAATGGGATCCGTCTGATAAACTTTGCCATCTCGAAAAACCTGATAATTAAAAGTACGACGTTTAAACATAAGGATATTCATAAATATACTTGGACATCACCGGATTCGCAAACACGAAATCAAATCGATCATGTCTTGATACAACACAGCTGGCAAAGTAGTATAATTTATGTACGGTCTTATCGCGGAGCAGAATGTGGGTCGGATCATGAATTAGTAATCGCGAAACTTCGACAAAAACTTAATATAAAAAAGAGAAAAGAAAACCGTTTCGATTTTGAGAATTTTAATTTGGAAAAATTAAAAAATCCATCAATTAGAAACCAATTCGAGCTAGATGTTAAGAATAGGTTTGAAGCTTTAGAGCTTCCTGACGAGGACCACGAGGATATTGACAAGTTATGGGTAGAGATCAGGGATAATATTAAAGCGGTCGGTAACTCGTGTCTAGGAAAAAAGGAAACTAAGAAAAACAAACCGTGGTTTGATGAAGATTGCATAAACATGAGCGAAAAAAGAAAAGCCGCTAAATTAAAAGCTCTAAATAATCCTAGCGAAGATAATCTGGAATACTTCCAAACCTCAAAGAACGAAACGACAAAATTGCTCAAAAATAAAAAAAGGGAGTATCTTAAAAGTAAAATAATTGAAATAGAAACTAATAGAATCGAAAATAACGTAAGAGACATGTACAAAGGTATAAACAGATCACGTAAATATGTAGGGCCCGTAACGTCTGGAATTAGGGATGATAATAACAATATTCTGACCGATCCGGTTGACATATTGAATAAGTTTAAGGACCACTTTGACAATATTTTAAATACGGGAAATTATGATCTGTGTCCTCCTTCTGAGTACCAGAGTGCTGAACCGTTAATAGAAGGACCAAGTAAAGAGGAAGTTGAAGTAGCTATCGGAAAATTAAAATCATATAAAGCAGCGGGAATCGATAATATTCCTACTGAACTAATTAAGGCATGCGGAGAAGCTGGAGTTTCTAAAATACATCGGTTGGTTAAAAAGATCTGGGTGAACGAGAAATTACCTGAAGAATGGAAAGAATCTATTCTTATTCCGATTCACAAAAAGGGTCCGAGGACGGATTGTAATAACTATCGAGGAATTTCACTCCTTCCGGTATGTTATAAAATATTCACTTTAATCTTAACCAGTCGAATCACGGAATACGCCGAGGAAATTATCGGAGACTACCAATGCGGATTTAGACGGAATCGTTCGACAATTGATCAAATATTTTCTTTACGGCAAATATTAGAGAAAAAATTGGAGTATAACGGTGTTGTTCACCAGCTGTATATAGATTTTAAAAAGGCGTACGATTCTATTGACCGCCAGAAACTGTATAATATTCTAATCGAGCAGGGGATTCCAAAAAAACTAGTAAATCTAGTCAGGATGTGCTTGACGGAGACACTCAATAAAGTTAGAATCGGTAATAATTTGTCCGAAAAATTTGAGGTTCGTTCGGGCTTGAAACAGGGGGATTCTCTTTCGCCTGTCCTGTTCAATTTGGCATTAGAACATGCCATTAGGGAGGTAATGCGAACCGAGAAAGGGTTGGATCTGGGCGGGACAACATCCGTGCTGGGCTATGCTGATGATCTGGTACTGTTAAGCGAAGACGTTGAAACTATAAAACTAAATACGACAACGTTAATGAAAGCCGGTAAAGAACTAGGACTCGAAATAAACGTGGATAAAACAAAATATATGGTTAGCTGCAAAAATGGCGATACTACTGGTGATATCGATATAGATGGTAATATGTTTGAACAGGTAGATAAATTTAGGTACCTAGGTTCTACGATAACTAGAAAAAACGAAATTGAAGAAGAGATTAAGGTTAGACTGAAGGCGGGGAATGCTTGTTATTTTTCTGTGACAAAACTACTTAGTTCGCGCCTCTTGTCCCGAAACTTAAAAATTAGAATCTATAAAACAATTATCTTGCCTACAGTTCTTTATGGATGCGAAACTTGGCCGCTTACATTAAGGGATGAGCAGCGTCTTAAGGTTTTTGAAAATAAAGTATTGCGTAGAATATTCGGACCGAAGAAGGATGAGTTAACCGGAGAGTTCAGACGGTTACACAACGCCGAATTGCGTGAGCTGTATCCGGGTAATATAATTGAGGTAATTTCATCGCGGCGAATCAAATGGGCTTGTAAAGTTGTTGGGCTTAGTAACGAGAGAATTCCTAAAAGGTTAATATTTGCTGTGCCGAATGGTAAGCGTCCGAGGGGTAGACCGAAGCGAAGGTGGGAAGATTGCATTAAAGCCGATCTGAAGGGACTGGGTTTGGACGGCGAACGGTGGAGGGAGGTGTGTAACAAGCGATTGATGGTGTCGGCATCGAACCTTCGGGTTCGCTAAGCCTTATTATTATTATATTATTATTATTAGTGTTATTACTTAATTTGGTGTGTAAAATTTTTGTATTGTTTAATTGATTAGTTTTGATTTTTCATATTTATTTGTGCTGTACCAAATTTTATTTATAAGTTTTATAGGATAAAAATTCTCATCCAAAATTTTGTAAATTTGTGTTTTGATATTGTTCCTATATTAAGTTAATGTCTTTACTCCTTTTTTTATGAAATTTTTTATAACGTTCATTTTTTGTGTTATGGGACGATTTGAATTATAGTTTAGTAGAACATTGCTGATAATTGTTTTTTTTTTGTCCATTTGGTTGTTACTTTTTTCTCGTTGTTGTCTATTGTTATTCGTACATGCAATTTAAAAAAAAATATGTATAAACATAGAACAAATTTTAACAAATATCATTGACGTATGATGTTCGAAGAGTGAAAAAGGAGGTGTCAGATGATGGACTAAGAGTCCAAAAAGTTAGACAGATGTTTCTAGATAAATAGGAATTATTTAGAACAAATTGAATACACGGAAGAGAAAAATTTCCATACCTTATACCTAAAATAATACAAAACTCCTCCTTAAGAAAAATATAAACATTAAATAATATAAGAAGTAATAAAACAAGATTTTTAAAGGAGTTATAATTTCATGATCCTAAATTTATTAATACATATTAGATGTAAGAATCAATACAAATATTAATGTTAACCAAATAGGAATAAATCAAACTGAATACACACAAATCAAGTTAGACTCACCGTTGTTAACCGTTCTAGAGCTGAGAACCTTTCTTCTTGAGCGGTTGCGGATTTCTCGAAAGATTCATGTTTCTTAATTAAATTTTCAACGTCATCTATAGTATGCTGAAAAAAAAATATACATACATATAAGCTATTAAAGATAGTTATCATTGTAATTAAATTTAAGTGATCATGGAATCTGTCAGTTTTTTGTTAACTATATAATCTTTTCAATAACAAATTATACTTTAAAATTAATAATCAAAGACAAAAAGAATACTATAAAAAGAAAATCTAAAACATACCCCTAATTCGTGTGACATAAGATATGGTTCTTGAGCCAAAAGCCATGCTTCTGCAACTGCGGCATCTCTCGCGAATTGGTAAACCTCAAGTACTATAAAAAACAAATATACATTTTTTTATTAATATGAATTTTATTTTAATCCTCAAACTGAAGTGTGTCGGATATTAGATGTATGAATCAAGAAGCAGTCCTTACTTAATTGAAGGTTCTCCCACCTTTCCTCCCATCGATGCAGTAAAGCATTACGTTGATTATTCAGAGAAAGAAGCTTTTCTTTGATCTAAAATTTACAAAATATATAAACAAAAGTTTTTGAAACTGTATAAGACATAATTATTTATTTGTTTATTTATACCTCATTTGATGCATAATGGTTTCTAGAAAGTAATTCTTTTCCAAGTGAAATACATGAAGTAAAATTATCCTCTCTGGTGTCAATTTCGGCTTTCAAACTTTGGTGGTTATTCATCAGTAATTCTACACCACTAACATCTCTGTAACGTAATAATAGAATTTAGTTGATATTAAATTTGTAAAAGTTCTATAAATAATCTAAAAAATGTAAGTATATCAAAATTAATTTTGTAAGGAATTGCATATAGTGAACATAAACTCCATCATGACAGCAATTAATCAAGGATTCTTCTAGAGATGTTCAGCCACCAGTTTTCGTATTGATGATCTTTATTTTTTAATGAGAAAACCATTTCATAATTAACTAGCACCTTAACGAGAGAGATGTGAAAGGGCAAAAATCTCAAGAGAAAAAGAAAGTAATTTTTATACTTTGTAACAATTTTAAAGTAGTATATATAGTTCAGGATATGTAAATCTCATCAAACTAATGTTCACAAGTATTGGAGAACCATGGACCATAAATAAGAAACACTTAACCTTACCTTAATAATAGGCAATCGGAAAAATACCATAGGATGGAAAAACTTTGAGACAAATTATATTCTGTCCATTTATAATCAAATGAAAGTTATTAATTTATTATCATAAATAACTTAAAATTTAATTAATTACCTTGGTTTTTCAGTAGTGTTCATTTGTCTGATAACATCATCCATCCAGAGTATAAGAGTCCGGACCATGATAAAGAACCTGAACAGATCTCCAGTATCATCCAACTTTGCTTTTCTAGCTTCACATAAGCCTTGGAGGCCAGCCCAGGCTGAGACAACCTCTGTTTCTCGGTTGGTTATCTCCCTGGCCTTGTCACCAGCATATGAAGCTTGCAATTTATTTGACTCGTCACAAATTGCATTCACCTGAAAAGTAAAAATAAGATATATTAATTTCTTCTTAAATTCACAACTAGTAAAACATGGGGTCGTCAGTATAAAATTAGCTCTATTACAGCGGTATAAATGTGCATGACTTTAAAAGAATACAGAAATCTGTATATTTTGACCTTCAATATTTCATTCATATTTCAACCAAACAATGGAATCCCAAAGAGAAATAAATTTTGAAAGGGACTATCGAGAACAGTAAATAATAATATTAAATTTGAACTTTTACACATATTTATTTGTTTTGTTACAAGCATAAAATAACACAAAATTATGTATGAAAAATTAAGTTAACTATTATTCACAGCATGCCACAAATAATGAATGTTATTTCACTTCAAGAGGATAATATTATTTTTGAGTAAGAAGATGGTGCCGAGTGGCGGTCATAAAAAGACAAATACTAACAAACTATTTTATTAAAAACCAATGTTTCGACCCGACATTGCAGGTCTTCTTCAGGGGATGGCATGCAGTAGAGAGTCTCTGTTAAACTTTTGAAAAAATAAATTTACCTGTGACTGTAGAGTTTGGAGGTCTTGCATGAAACCTTGATGTTTACGCTGAAGAACGGAAACACTTCCTGCATCCCTGCCAAGTTCTTCAGACATTCCATGCTGTTTTTCTGATATGCGACCAAGAACATCTTTGCAGTCATGGAAGAACTTGTGCAGTTCTCGGGAAGCCTCAAGCATCTACATTTTCAAAACAATAAAAAATCTTTTATTAAAGTGAGATATCATTAATATTTTATCAATGAACTGGTAATTATAACATTTTAATTGATGTTGGAAAAACATCTATATCGAAACATGCAACATTTCTGAAATAAAGTCTTATCAAGGAAAAAAGAATGCTTAAGGAAAAGAATGTTAATCTTATATTTAATTAAATTATATTAAAGGAATAATTTTATAATTACAAAAAAAAAGTAAAACCAACCTGAGTCCTGGTAGTGATAAGCTCAAGTAAATCTTGCCAAGCTTCAATAAGTCCATCTTTCCATTCAGCAATAGTAGCGGAGTCACTATGGCCAGCCGCAATCAGATTGTCAGCCATGTTATTAACTACAGCAACCCTTTCACCTCCGGTAGCCTCAGTGTCCCGAGCAAATTCTTTGAACCTTTCCCACAGAAGCTAAAAAAAAATATCAAGTATAATAATATTACTCAAAACAATATATAGCTATATGTTATATATATAATATATAAAACATTTAACGATCATCATGGCAGCTGTCACTACCATTACACAGTGTCGCTGATCAATGTGGTATTTATAAAATAAACAATAAGTAATTAATTGGAAATATAATTAAATTTCTTTGAAAATAAACATTTATTGATATCATAAAATTTTAAAAATCTTTGAAAAAATAAAACAAAATTTCTAGGACATTTTTTTTTTTTGAAAGATGGAAAACTAAATCACAAAGTCAGTAATTTTGCATTTTATTTTTCTAACCACTAGTTATTTGCTCAAATTAATTGTCTTTTTTTTTATTGTTTCGAAATATCATACTATCTAAACTCGAGGGCACTTGAACTGCCAATGAAATACTTACTCCCTGGCTCTACAGGTCTTTGTGACCCATGGCCTTCCGGACTATATCCCTACATCCATCACGGTCCTTGGAAGCACTCCTCCAATTCGTGACACCTAACTTTACAGCATCTCCTCGTTCGTCCTCTTTTTTTCAATGATTGCCATGTCTAGTATTTTCTTCTGAACCCTCTTGTCTCTCAATCTGACAACATCACACATCACAGCCTACCTTCTTTAATATAATTAAATATATATTGGTTTTTCAGAATGACTGAAATTTCTGTATTACTTTTGATCCTCCACTTTCCATCAATCTGTATAGTCCCTCCCATATATCCTTCTTATAATTCGTCTCACTAAAACTCTCAGTTTTTGAGTCTGTCGATGGTAGGCACCAGGTTTCCAGCCCGTAGGTGACAAACCGCTTGATTAGAGTATTATACAGCTTTATTTTGGTCTTGCTAGAAATAATCTTTGATTTGAGGAGCTTCAAGTTCATATAATATACCCTATTTTCAGCTATTATTCTATTTTATATTTCATGACTAATCTAGTTTTCTATATTTATCGAAGAGCCTAAGTAAGTGAATTGCCGTTGTTTCTTTGGTTATTTGCAGCTATAAATAGCATATATTTTATTTTCTTAATTTAGGGCAAGCCCAACAATGCTACCTTTTTTTATATTAATTTCCTTTAGTTACTTCCTTTTCCTAGGATCCTTTAGTGCTGCTTGGCTTCTGGCCATAATAACCAAATCACCTGCATACGCAAAAATTTTCCACATTTTATTGGCTAGTGTTCCAGTTTTAATTGCACCATTAACTGCTGAATGTAAGGCCAAGTTTAACAGCGTCACCCTACCTTACTTCAGAGACCACATCAAGAAGGCATCACCCACTTTGTCCCAATCATAGCTTTGGCAGCAGTATTTCTTAATGTCATTTTTCTTTAAGGATCAGCAACCATTTCATCCAGGGCATCTTGTGCCTCTTAAATATTTCCCCATCTCTAAAACTTAATCCTTAATATTTTTAGATTTTGCTGCTTTGGCTATTTTTGTCTAAGACGCACTTTAACCAGATAGGGGTTGGAGTCGCACTTAAGTCCTCTCATGGTCCTTGCATCAATTACATTTGATGCATGTCTGGTTTCAATCAACAAATGATCTATTTGATTAACAATATGCTTTTCAGGTACTTCCCAAGTACCTTTATACATTAGTTTGTGAGAAAAACAGCTATTCCTTATACACAAACTAAACACCAATGAAGTACAAGGCTAATACCAGAATATTTTTAGCATTTATATATTTTAATAAGTAATTTCATATCTTGGGTAGTTTTTAATTTATGATTAAATAAGTACTTACTTTATATAATAAGCAATACCTTTATATATGTTAATACTATTCTTTTTTATTATTATTAACAATAGTAAACCATTACAAATTTTGGAAAACAAAAATAATTGGTGTTTGCTTCTAAACTATTAAATAAACCTTTGAATAAAAAAAGTTAGGGAATCCCACAATGATAGATTTAAATATTAATTAATCATAGTTGAGCATAAATTAATCCCTACTTAAACTGGATAATAATTGAAAGTTGTGGGATGCGTACCTCATACTTTAAACAATAAATTATGACTGGAGTTTCATAAAAAAGCATATCTTACTAGTAAACAGATTAATAATTTAAATCAATTTATTTCGTTCTACAAAATTGGATGCTTTAATTGCCTTTAAAAAATTATACTTACTGTCACATGATCATAATCTTGCCCAAGTTCATGTGATCCTGCAACTACTTCTCTCTCAGCAATCCATTGTTCAAGATCATCCACTTCTCTGTTCAAAGTAAACAATCGGAGGGCCTCATCAAGTTTGGCTCTTCTTTCACCAGCCAGGTCCTTCAGTCCGGCATACAACTTGTCAACTTGGGACTGCTTTACACAAATCTGATCGCTGTTAAGAAAATATAAATAATGACTTAATAAAAATCATAAAATATTTATCTTATTATAACTCACAATATGTAAAATAAGTTGCACTAAAAAGCAAGAAGATGGTAAAAATATTTCGGGTACAGGATTTTTAATTAAATCAGGCTATCATTTATGGTCTTTTATGACAATTTGATAAGCTACAATAAAAAAGGTATAGCAAAGTTCTAAAACATGGATAGTTCACAAACAGCACATATTGTCTTAAATGATTTTTAAAAGAAATAGTTATGCATAACTAGCTGCATAATGAGCTGTATGCTATTAACTTGATATTAGATTAGAATGAAAACAATGGAATCCTAAAGAAATAATTATAGATCAAGGGCCATAGTGAAAGGAGAGGACTGGTTAAAGAAGTAAGACAATGAAAAAGGCAAATCCAGTAAGTCCCGATTCACTTGTAGGTTGTAAAGCTTTGAAAAAATGAGGAAGAACAATGGATATAATTTAAATTTGATGCACACTCTAATTTCATTAAATATGCACTTGCCTCAGAGGATTTCCTTGGGCAGTTAGAGTTCTAGCAGTTTCTCCTAGTTGCCTGATGGTATCAGCATAATGATCAACGGCTAACTCCAAGGATTCATGTTTCTTCATCAAATTTTCAGCTGAGATCTCATCCTTTCCTCTGTCTTCAACCATCATATATAATTCTTGTTCTGACATCCAACTCTCTGCTTCACTTGCATCAAACAAGTACTGAAAAAAATATGAATTTAAATAAAAATTATTGGCAAAATATTGAATTTGCATAAATAAGTGCCCTTTAAATAGGTATAGCTGAAGTAATAATAGTGCTATGCTCTAAAGATAAATAAAATTATAATAAAACATAAGCAGAATGTAAATATAAACAAATACAGATTTAACAATTATAATTGGTAATATTGACTTATGCAATAATGATTACTTAACTTAAAATATCTTGTGAGTATAAGTTAAAATAAAACTAATAACGCCAAAAACAATCCTGGAAATTCACCTGTTGTACAAGTTCTGATTGAGTGAGCCTGTTTTTCCTCTCTTCAACAGCTTCCTTAAGCCTTTCCCATTTCTCGAGAAGTTCCTCAATTAAACGCCTGAATTCTGGGCCTTCCTCATGACCTTCTTCCACTAACTTTTCTCCATTTCGGAGGACAGAGTGGAGACGTGGTTCATGGCCATCAATTTCCGTTCTTAAAGACTTAAACAAAATTTTAAAATAATTTTTGAAACAAACACTTTTATTTGCGTATTTGATTAAAAATTAAAATACTAAAACATACCTTATTTTTCTTCTTCAAAGTATGGACATTAAACAAACTGTTACCATAGTCTGTAGAAGTTGCAAGGGGCATTTTTTCTGCAATCCACAACTTCTCATCCTCCACATCTCGTCGGAACTGAAATAATAAATAAAGAATATTTAATTTCAAACACTCATAACTTTCTCACAACAAGCTATGAAATAAAGTACAGTAATGAGTCAATAGAGAATGATATAGAAAGGTCCTTATCTAAACTTTTTAAACTAAATTCATGGAAGTTTTAAAAATATTATATGTTAAAAAAAATTACTTTGCTATTATAAATGTTATAAAACCACTATATAGAAACAATTTTAGTCCTTAGGAATTAGCAGAAACATATTTCGCTACACATAGCCCCATCATAATCCAAATATACAAGATAAGACCTAACAATATCCTTCAAATTTGTTTCTATCTATGTCCTAAGACATTTACGCATTTGGTTCCCCAACTAATTTATAAGTTTTTATAAATTCATTCATCATCCAGACCAACAGATCACAACCAAGCACCCAGGGGTACACATGCACCCCAGGGAAAGTGGAGAAATAATAAAATAAATAAATAAATGAAAAAATTAACAGTTCCTTTTTTTTTTTAACCCATAGTTAGTGTGATATTCACTCAACTTAATAAACTGAAAAACTCTTTCCTTGGATTAGCACTAAATGTCATTATGTACTGAGTTTTTTAAAAGATACAATTTATTTCCTATCTGTTTCAGCGAAGTCCTCTGATAAGAGGCTGGAATGATTATTATTTAAATTGAGAATTAGGTTGTTCATATGAAGTTATGGAATACACATTATCAAAAATTACATAATACATTTTTATGTGAAGGTTCCCACCACTACTTCTTGCAGCCTCAGACCCACCCACACCACAAAAAGGTTAAGAGCCTTAGATCCAGACCAACAACTTCACATTTCAATTTTAATTGTTGTGATGTAATTACTTCAGTTATATTACTAGTAGTTATATTTACTAGATTGCATGCTCTGAAATCTTTTAAACCTTAATTTTGATGTTAAATTACAGCAGAAATGAACTAAGTAATTTTGTGATAACAAATAACTAGCGTTTCGATCCTGTGACTTTTCTTTTGTTTCTCCTTTATCAATTTATGAAAAGTATAAAGTTTAATTTTATTAAATCAGTTATTTTTAAAGTACCTGAAAGGCTTCTTTGTTCTTCTCCAACTGCCTTTGGCGTGTCAAGAGAGGATCTTTTAACTTCTGGAACCTGGCTTCGACAGCCGATTTTTTCTCTTTAATTTCTTCAATTTTCTCTGGAACAGTTTTTTCAAGATGCTTAGCTTGAGTTTCTAGTTCAGTAACCTGCCTTGCCTTAACTGCCATTTGGGTCTCAATCATCTAAAACATTAACATATTATTAAGAACAATGTTCATAGACAATAATCATGTAACAACTGAATAATTTGTTCAGTATTCCCAATAAAATAAATTAGATATTTTAATCACATTTAATGATGAAGAAACATCTGAGGATCTTTATAATGTTGATTACAATTACTTACTCATTACAGGATTACAATTTCAACAGTGTTGGTAGCTAATTGTAAGCTCCATTAAAATTTTAAAATAATACATTATGAAAATTAGAAGTAAAGTGATTTGTCTTAAAAAAAAATAAATTAATTGTCTAACAGGCAATATAATAGCTTTCCATGTTTAAAGTCAACTGGAATCAATACTTTATAGGTTTATAAACCATTAGAATTATGTTGTTAAAATGATTAAGTTAATCTTTGAAGGAAAGTAAAAAATATTTATTTTCATAAGAATCGATTCACAAACAATAAGTATTAACAAGGTAAAAAAATAATAATAATAGTCACCTGTTGTTTTTGCATCAGAATATTGACAGAGGCAAGATCTGTTCCCAGATCTTCATTCTCAATCTGTTTTTCCAGATCATTCATCCAAGAATCAATATCATCACAAGTTTGGTGTAGAAGAACTTCACGGTTAGCATCAAAGAGTCTTTCACCCTTCTCATGTGTCATTGTCTCAAGGTCAACAAACTGGGTAGTTAAATCTTGTATCTTTGGCTCTATTATCTCACCAAGCTCAGGTTTTTCTTTCATAAGTTCTTCTCCTGCCTAAAATATTAAAATTTGGAATTATTCTCAATCTTTGATTTAAATAATTATAAAATGTGAAATGAAATTACCTGCTGAACACGGATAAGTCTGTCTTTGTTTGAAGCTATTTCAGCTTCAAAAGCTTGATGTCGAGTCCATTTTGAATGAACAGTCTTGGCGGATCTATAAGATTCATCTTGGGATATAAATTTCTTTTCTTGAATCCATTCACTAAGTTCTTCACAATCCTAAGAATAAAGAATAAAATTTTAATTAACAGAGAAAAAAATACAATAAAAACAATACAAATTATTACACAATTGTTTATTATTTCGAAACACTTATATATCAAATGTAACATTACTTTATTTGTCACATAAAGAAAAATAAATAAAAGCAGATTTCTAATATTGGCCTAAATATTTTTTTTTTATCATAAGTAATTTTCTATGAAAAATCGACAACAATCCCGATTGCTTGTGTTGCAGTAACATTTTCCAAAAATCAAAATCAAGAATATAAGCTTTGTAGTAGAACATATGGAAAATATTTAGAACACCATATTTTTTCAGCAAATTGTCCAATTTCAACAACTGTTTTGTTCTGTAGGAAGTTCTGTGTATACTTTCATATATGAAAAAAGTGTATACTGTTAGAGCTATTCGGAAATCTAATTTTACCACCCCTTGTTACTTTTTTTCGAGCTTCTTTTCAGTGAAGTATGTTATATAGATTAATTTAAAGGGCAAAGAGGAAAGAAAATACTTTGGCCAAGTTTCATTGAAAATGTTACATTTGTTCAGGCACTAAAATGATGATTTTAAAATACTTTATTTATTTTGATACTAAAGTAAAAATTAAAAATGCAATTCACTAATTGTCTATGCAATTCTAAATTTAACGATACTCCACATTCATAGAAGGGCCTTTAAGTATGATAGGATCTTTTTGGAACAAAACCAATACTGAGAATTAACCTATTAATACATGTGATGATAATAACCTGCAAGAATTGATGAAGTTGTAACTGATCCTTAAGTTTTTCCATGTTTTCTTGTGCTTTCTGCCTGTTAGAGTTTCTTCGTTCTTCAATACTCTTAGCCTTCTTGAGGACTTTATCTCCTTGAAAATGTATTTTTAAAAAAATTATAAAACAATAAAAGGAACATAAACTTTCTATACTATCTTTTGCTTTACAAGCAAAATTATATGGTCTTCAAACTCTTTATAGAATTTTATAAAATATTATAATTGTTTTTTAAAGAATCTGCAAATCTATCAGAAATAATTACATTATTTTATTAGTCATTTCAAAATAGAATTTTCAAGCCAACATTTTTGAAATTACATGAAATCCAACAGTTCAGCGGTTTAAAGACCTCTGCATCAACTAACACCTAAATTATTTTTTCTAATAATAAAATTTGTACCTGCAAAATGACCTTCATTACTAAGCTGTTCAGCGAATTGCACCACAGCGTTGATTTTCTCATCGTTGGCTTCCATTGTCGTAAGGAATGCCTCGTGTCGTTTTATTAAGTTTTCTGCTTGCTCTAAGTTGACCTGTAATAGAAAGTAAAATAGTCAGAGGGACGAAAAAATAAATAAAAATCTTACAAAGAAAAATAAATTTCATTTTGTTCAGCTACAAAAAGTAGAGAAAAAAATATTTTTTAATATCAGTGTAATTTAATTGTTAGTTTATTCTATGACATTCATAGGATGCTATCCTGGAAGTCACAGAAAAAAGAACCACAGAAATCAGTTCAACAATGGCAAAATTATGACTGAAAATATATTTGAAGAAAGTCAAATTGAGAATCTCCTCTTACTTTGAGGTTGGTTGAAAATTATTAATAACTAAAATATCTTTACTAGCTCTTCCACGAGTGTACAAACTTAATGAATAAGGACAGAAAATCATAGAAAAAATAAGTACTTAGATTAAATTAAAATAACTTACAGGTGTATCATCCTTCGATAGCACATGCTCTTGGTGTGATAAAAGAACTTCAGCCTGACGAGCGTCCCTATTGAACATTTGTAGATTAAGCCAATGTGACAAAAGTTCTTGTCTGTTTTCCCACATCTGATGTAACTCTTCCCAACCATCTCGTAATGCCTTCAATCTTTCTCTTAAGAACATATATTGTGGATCAGATTGTGTCGAGGGTTCCTAAAATAGAGAAAAAAAAGTTGGCCAAGCACTCACAAAATAAAATTAAAACAATAATTAAAAGAAAACTATAAAATACATCTCTCATTGATTGGTAATTTGTATAATTTTTTTGTAATAATAGCATATTCATATTGCAATTATACAGCATTTTCTGCATAAAAATGTGGGCTCTAACAAGGACATTGATCTTGGAGTAAGGTTACTCTCCTAGCAAATCTAGTAGAAAAACATGTCAGTAAGTACAATGTCTATATCCAAACTGTAGTATGTAAGTCAAGAAACTTGACAATGTAAATGGGTCTATTAAACTGTGGTCATTTCTCTCAGTTTTTGAAAACTTAAGTACTTAACTAAAACATCTAGACCAAGAAACTTATCCATGTCAAGAAATTTGCCCTAACACAATGTTCATAGACTGAAAAACATTTTAGAACTAGATTAAAATCATATAATCTTTTAAACAAATAAAAATAATTTATTTTATTATAACTAAAATAATATAGGAAGAATCAATTTTTAATTGCCTGTTGCAATGTGGCATTAATCTTCCGCCTACAGCTCTGGTCCGGGAAAATCCCGTATAACCTAAAAGGTGAGGAAGAGGGGACGGAAAAAACAAAGGAAGTGTATAATAAAAAAAATAATCATGAGAAGGGCAACACTGAATAATGGAGGAACAATATTCCACAGAATGATTCAATTTTTCGCATATGCAGACGATGTGGTTATCGCATGGCGATCATTTCAAGCAGTGAAGAGTGCATTCTGTTGGACAATAAGGCAGAGAAAATGGGGTTTGCATCAATGAAAGCAAAATCAAGGTCCTTGTTTTAAGGAAGAAAAAGCTTGTCCATCCACCACAGCCTATGTCATGGGAAACTATATTTTTCAAGCTATATGTATGAAGCTTAACCTACCTCGGGTCCAAAATTAATGATAGCAATAATGAAGAGCAGGAGATAGGAGCTGAAATAATGGCTGCCAACAGAGCGTACTTTCCTCTAGCGAGCCTTCTGAAAACTAGATTGTTGAGTCATAAACCAAGTTTAGGATATACAAAATGATTATTCGGCCATTTGCATCATATGTGTGCGAGACATGGACTCAAATGAAGACATCTGAAGAAGAATAGATAGGTTTGAAAGGAAAATCCTAAGACGGATAATAGGATCTAAACTAGAGGAAGGAGTTCCCCTCTTGAGAACAAACAAAGAGGTATACTCAAGGTATGGCGATCTCTCTATCAACTAATTCGCTCGAGTTTAGTGAATGAAATGGTTATGACATATCCTGAGAATGGATGAAGTGAGGATAGCGAGAAAGCATTATCATAGGAAACCAGGGGAATTAGATCTAGGGGAAGACTGAAGGCGAGACGGATGGATGACATAAAAGAAGATTTGAGAAAAAATGGCATATCCATTAGGTGCGCATATCCAATAGGGATGACTGGGCAAAGGAGATTGAGCAGGCCAAGGACCTCTACATGCGTCTGTTGCGCCAATAATGAATGAATGAATAAAAAAACAGTGATGTAGTTAACAATAGTTATGATTAATCAATTATTAAGGTAAACATCAGAAACGCAATTTATTAATGAGGAGTACAAAAACAAATGAAATTTATAATGGTGAAGAAATAGTTGACTGTAGATGATATCATGGTTGAGAAGTCAGCTAGAGGATTGCAGTCAGTGAGAAATATAAATCAAAATAAACAATACAATAATTTTTGTTTGTGTTTCTCACTGACTGCAATTCCCAACTAACTTCCCAACCATAATGAAATTTAAACCAAAAATAATTCTAAAGCAAGTTGAATATAATCAATGTTATAAATTACTTTTTGATTTTTAGGATGCACCATTTTATAATTTAACTTATTTCGATTGTTTAAAGCTAAACTTTTATTTATGAAGTATTTGTCTATATAAGAATCTTAAAACTGAATAAATAAATAAATAAAATACAAACAGCTGTAATTTTCTCGCCATAATCCATCATCTTCTTATAATCCTCAGTATAGTTATCGATTTCTTCTCGGATGACTTGATGTTGAGAAAGGAGTTTCTCAGCCTCCGCCAGTGAGGATGGAATATCTTCTGAAGCAACATCTGTTTGAGTTTTCTGTAGCCACAACTGGAAATGATCTAAGTCACGAAGGAACCGATGGAGGTCACCAGCTTCTTCCAATTTTGCATCTCTTTCTTTCAGCTATAAAACCAAAGAAAATTAATTATAAAAAAAGAAATTCTCATAAATTAATTAAAAATCCATAATGTACATATAAGAAGAATTAATGAGCATACCATCATAGTCAAATCCTGCCATATGGTTGTGATTTGAGAAATTCTTTCTTTTATAAGTGCTGCTTCTTCTGGATGAGTATCACTAATAGCTTCAGACTCAGCCTGCAGAGAGTCAAGTTTGGCCTGTATTGCAGCAAGATCCCGCTCCATTCCACTTAGCCTCCTCTGTAAAATATAATTCAATCAATATAATAATAATATTCTATATAATAATATATGTATGTTTCATTCCAGCCATACCTTCAGTATAATATATAGAATACAGTATAATATATAAAATTACCTGGAGAGTCATGATACCAGTAAGATCCATTTCCAAACTATCAGTTGCCTGTAGAATTCGCTTTTTATCTTCAATCCATGATATAGTTTCACGGCATTCAATAAAGTAGGTTTGAACTCCATGTGCTGAGTTAAGTTCCTCTCTTTTGGTTTCGGCCTTCTCTCTCAATTGGGCCCATTCATGATTCAACTAAAAATAAATTTTATCATGAAATAAAAATGGACATATTTTTTGGAGGTTTAGAGTAAAAATAACATCTTAAAATGACAGACAGTTTGAAATTTCATGTTATTTTTTAAAATTTTTAATATAATCAAAGGAACTCAAGATATAAACATGAACATAACAATGACAATATAAATAAAAATTACTCTTCAATAAAATGAAATCAATGAATGGAACTTGAGTGATGAAGTAATGAGAACAAAAATCATTAGTAAACCATATATCATTTCTGATTACTGAAGGAAATTATTAATCATTTTACCAGCCCGAGGGTAAGGAGGCTACCCATTAAAAGTTATAATCAGGTTTGATAGTGTCCATCATATGATTTGTCCTACCTGGGGGTAGGGTGGCTGAGCAGGCTAACGCTTATGCAAAACACATGTTGCCCAGTAACCATATGATAGATAAACCCAACTTTAGAAGACATAAAATAATTAGTTCGTTAGGGAGGGGACTTTGAACTCTGGCATTAATAAAAAAAAAAATATATAAGTCCTAACTACATCAAATATGCTCTTAAGCAATGTTATTCTACTTCAACAATACGTAAATCAAGAAAAATAGGTGAGATTAATGACAGTTCACGGGGAATGAGGGTCACCAAACAAGTTGAAAATTAAAAGATACCTGGATTTCATCTGTCACACTTGTAAGAGATAATACTAGACAAACTTTATGTTTCAAATTTTACTTCTTAATATAAAAAAGTCAATACAGATAAGTACCTTATTCTGCCTAGCAACTATTTGTTCAGAATTAGGATGCTCCACATGCAAAAGTTGGCGAGCTAACTGATTGACAACTGCCACTCTTGAAGCATTCGCATTCATTTCCTTATCAAAACCATCATATCGGTGTTTCATTATCTCGACATCTTCAATTTCCTTCCCTGGTACCATTGTCTCAAGCATACGGTCCTATTAATACGAAATTCAGTTAAACAAAGAGTAATCCAACAAAACTGTTACAAAATCAATTAACTATAAATAGTTTTTCACTTATCTCTTTATATAAAACTAAAAAAAAGTCAATTTTAATTATTCATAAGATAATGCATCAAAAATAAACCTTTTCGCCAATCCATTGTTGAACACCATCAGCTTCACTAAATAGTTTATATAATGACAGAGCATCCAAAAGCCGTTGCTTCCTTAACTTAGCAAGTTCTAATAACTCCTTGTACCTGAAATAGATTGATAATTAACAAACAAAGATAATTTGAAGAAGAAATAAAAGTAGCTTAAAAACATCATTTCTTAATACTTTAGCCGCAGTTACAATCCCCGGTGTCCAATAGCTTTATATCAGATATAATGATTACTTATGTTTGCATCTATGCAACTCCTATCCAAATATTTTTAAAAATGATCATTTTAGAGAATTTGTAAGTTAGACAAAATTTGAAACAATCCCGGCCGAAATCGTTTAACTTAACATGATTTAAGTTTGTATTAAAAAGATAATATTGATCTATTTAAGGAAGTTAGTCTCTAACAGCATAAGTAACCCATCTTAAAAATAGACGAGCCCATGTGCTCACACAATTTAATTAATCACTATTTTTGAAATATTATGAAGCAAGAAATGACAAAGATACTTCATAATAGGCTTTTACTGTCTACATAAACATTTAGAACAAAGTAAATTAAATACATTTAAGTTAATAACAAGGTACCTATTTTCGATTGATGTAATCCTGTTGATAACATCAGATGACTCTCGATCTTGTTCACCAAGTGCGCTAGCCTGAGATTTGAGTGCTTCAATGGTAGCAGAATAGGCTTTGAGTTCTTCAGTTGCTTCTTTGTGTTTCTTGAGCAATGATTGAACATTAGCTTCATCACGTCCCACATCCTCGGATGAAACAAGTCGAAGTGTATCCAGCATCCAAATGTCGACATCATCGGCATCCGCAAAGAACTAGTAAACAAAGCTCAGTTTATTTGCAGTCATTAAAATATTATATCAATAATTTATGTTGTAACAGATGGTGAAAGTGTTTTTTTGCTTCTTCACTAACCAAGGTAGAGAAGCATTGTATTCGTATGAGAGGTCAAGACAATGTTATTAGTCTATGGGCCAGACCCCCTTACCGTGCACCCCATCCACATCTCTATAAATTGCAAATCAAGCGTCGTTTGTAATTAAACGGTCTACAATAACGCAAAACGTGCTGAAATAAACCATCTGGAGAATATATTTCTCTTTCTAAAACGCTGATTACTTTTTAAAATATTCGAAGCAGTTCCGTAGAAAATACAATTATGCGGCAGAAAAGCGGTACTGGCGTGGGTGCCTACAGGCCTCAACCACACCATTTAGTACACATAAATGGCTTAGTTATAGTGATATAATAACATTTTTGGTACATTATGTTGGTTTTATTAACGAACAAATATTAATGCAATAATTTAACTGTAAAAAAAAAAATTAAATTAAAAAAAAATTAATATTATTATTTTTTAATTTAACCTCCTTTATTCTATACGTAGGTCGTTTAAGAAGACCTCAATTGTAGAAATGATATAATTATAATAATAAAACTTAATTAAAAAATACTTTGCTAATTATCTTGATTTTTTTTTTATTTAACGTTTGCAATTTAACACTGTGTTTTGTATATTTATTGAATCTTAGAGGTAATTAAAATTTTTATATACTTCCCAGGAAATGAGTTATATTAATACCTGTTTTATAAACTAAAATAATATATACCTAATCTGAACTATATATAATGAATAGCTGGCGGGTTGTTTAGTAAAACTCATATATCACTAATTAAAAAATTAATTTTTATTTCCTTTATTTTGTGCGGAAGTTGGACTATATCATAAATAAATAGAAAATTTTAATATTGAATGAATTATTCTCTCTGCACAAAGAAAGATAGACAGAGTGACGCTATAAGTTCTTCTATAAACCAGAACTTTTTGTTTGTTTTTGGTCTCAAAATGAGGAAAAACACGTAATTGAATCAGAAAATTGGAAAAATACATTAAGCGAATGAGAAAGGAAGTGCCAAAACCTTGGAAAAGATAAAAAGGACCAGTATCCATTATATAGCTAAATGAATCTATAGTAGACAGATGGACAGAATATTTCAAGATGCTGCTAAAAGGGAGTCAATTGCAGTTTGGATGATATAAAGTGGATGATGTAGGTTTATTATGGTGAAAACCACTTTATTTTCTATTGCTACTGAAGGTGCACACTGGGACTATCTACACTTTGAAGCAGGATATAGAGAGGTATATCATTTCCTCATTTCACTCGCGTTTTATATTTCAGACATCAAGGATCAAATTTGGCTCTGCTTCTGTCTGTAGTCAAATTGATGTAATAGGCATATCATCTACTACCTTTCATCCTATTTTCGAGGAAAAACTTTAAAGGATTATGCGGGTTGGTGTCTAGATGGTTCCAGATCTATTTTATCAAATTCTATACACCACGCGTAAATTTATTTTCATAGATATGCCAATATTTCAGAAACGGCTCATTAGATTTGGCTCGAAAGAAACTTCGAATATTCGAAGCTGAAAGAAAGGTGGGTTTAGTAAAATTTTCCTTTATACGTCAATATCTCTAAAACCGCTAATTTGATTCGAATCAAATTTGGAGGGAAGTTAACAGATAATGAAATAGTCAACAGATAATTAAGTATGTATCAATTTTATCAAATTCCATCCACTACTCGGATCAGTAAACGTATCAGTACTAATTTCATTTAATGAATAAAGCTAACATAAATAACTATTAACAAAATAATGGCTGTGAAATGTGGAAGGCATTGATCACATGGAATATGGGTTAGGTTAATGCACTATTTTTAAGAGGTTATAACATTTTAGGTTTTATTCAAAAAGTTAATTTATGATATATATTGTTTAGTAGATTCCAAATATGGGCATGACACTTATTACCTTCACTTAAATTTCATGTACATCAATCTCAAATATCGAATGTAAAAGAGTTGGTCGCTACAATATATTTACCTGATGAAAATCAACTGCTTCTTCAAGCCTCTTTCTTCTATAAGCTACAAGTTCTTCTAAATGTTTCCACATGCCTAGTGTTTCATCCAGTCGGTTTTGAATTCTTTCAGCACCAAAATGGCCTTGTGAGACTAAATCTTCTCCTACAGCTACAACTGAAGCCAATTGAGGTTCATGTGATGATATTTCATTTTCAAGAGCCTGTAACAGGAAATATTACCTTGCTATACTCATCAAAAACAATAAAAACTTAATTATTTTGGACTGATTCCATAAATAATCTCATTATAATTTTTAAATCTTATTTGTTTTAATATCATTACAAATACATAATTTTATAAACATTTGGAATACTATTTAAATGCACAACAAATTTAAAAATGTATTAAGATAAAACAATAGAAACTATCTTAATTATTAACACTCATAAAATAATACTTTGATGAAGGTTTCATAGATTAATTTTAAGTTCTAATTACCTTATGTTTAGAAAGGAGAAGGTTAATTGTTATCAAATCATGACCAATATCTCCTTGGGAAACAATTTGTTCTTTTTCTTTAATCCAGTTCTCCTCATCAGCCATATCCCAGTAAAACTGCCACAGCTTCCGACTTTCTTCTAGCCTTGCACGTCTTTCAAGAGCTAATTTTACTAGCTCACTGTAGGCATCCTAATTAAAAATAACAATTGAAAGTTGTGAAATAATATTGTGGAGTAGATGAAATAATAAAATGGAGTAGAATAAATCAAGTAGACGGTTCTCATTATTCTCTATTAATTTATTAAATTATTTTTATCAAAACCATTGGATTACGTTCTGCAGAAAGGAACTAATCCTCAAATTTGCAGTTATTGGTATATTCTTGTTCTTGATTCCTTGTTCTGCAAAAATATGTAGCGTTCTACCTCTACACCCTGACCTACACATACTGATACTATTAATAAACTGACTACAAAACCACTAATAGAATATGCACCATTTCCCTTTCAGCAGAATCAGAGTGGCCTTTCGGTAGAAAAGTGATAATACTATGATACATTAGCAATGAAAAGCTTTTTTATGAGCAAATAGCTGATTCTGTATGTGAATAGTACTTTATTTTACACAAAGTTGTGTCATAGCAAAGTTCATGAAGCAACTTACAATAGGGTAAGAAAGGGGATAATATTGAAACAGATCCTGAAAGCTCCACTTGAACAACATTCATCACTAAAAAGAATTTATCACAAGTTTCTGATATCAGAATGTAGTTTTCTATTTTTCTGACATTGGAACAACAAATAAGAATTTATATGTCTGAAAGACTCACAGAAGTCATGAAGACATGCAAAAAGCAATTACCTTGTACTAATGGGAAGATTGAAAGAATCAAGAAATCAAGAACGAATGTTAACAAACAGAAAAATGGTAGAAACAATTGTTGTTGTAAGGAACCAACCCACAAAAATATGTAACATCTCAGAATTAGAAAACATTGAAGAACCATCCTGGCCTAAAATAGAAGTCCTTTAATGAGTTGTTAGTTGAAATTTACAGTACATATATAATTTATTGGTATTTTTTTTATGTTTGCTTAACTTAGAATCTGTTTTTTTTTTCAGTTCAGTTACTTTCTGGTTAGTATCCTTATGCAGAATTTGATTCAATTAGTACTGTCATATTGAGAACAGATTCAGAAAAGAAGATCAATTCGGAATGTTTATAGATGTGAATTTTTTTGTTACCTCCAATTGTTGAACCCTTTCAATAATGACTGATGGATCACAAGGCCTGTAGCCCTCTGTAGCTTCATCATCAAGGAACCGCTGAGATTGTTGTACAACTCCTTTAACTCTTTCACCAAGTACATTGATGTCAGCCTCAACTAAACTATGCTTCTGAAGAAGATCTTCAACTCCCATCAAGTGTTTACCTGAAAAATAATAAATTGTATTGGTATTAAAATTCTGATTGGTATTCAATTAAATCATTCTAACAAGACATTGAAACACTTTTAATGCCAACATACCATAATCATCTGACAAAAGTCTCATCTTCAGCTCTTCCATAGAATCTAAAATATATATCATTTCTTGGAAGTTCTGTTGAAGCTGAAGAGATAACTCTAACCTCATTCTTCTGGATCTCAGAAGTTCAAGGAGGTAATTCCAAAGTCTTAGAACATTATCCTTCCTGAAATTTATAAATAGTAAATTAGACTAAATTGTTGATACATTTTTATAAAAGACTTATTTCATTTTAAAGTTAATTGCTAACTTATTAATGTTTTTCACTAATCACGGACTGAAACAATATAAATTCTAAAACCTGATGAAAACCATAAGTTTTAATTACTTCAGGGTTTCCAATGCAAAAAATGAATCTAAATTGTGAGCAGTCAGTTTGTCATAACACTTCAACCACTTAACTGTTTTATTTATTTTTTTTATTACCCCCTTCCACACCATTTCTGGGCAGATACCCTGTATATAAAATTGATGAGTTTGATATTTGTTTTTGTATCTATATTATTCTTAACATAAATTAGGCTTTATACCAAAATAAAGTTATTCTCTATTTTTATTTCTTTCTAAAAAATTAATTAATTGATTTGATTTCTTTACAACCAATTAAGAAAAATGATAATTTAATACCTTGCATTGATCCTCTCAATGTCATGATAATTTTCTGCTTCCAATTCTTGACTAACAGTTACAACTGCTTGTACTCGTTCCTCATAGGCAAAAATATCAGTTTCAATTGCTTCATGCTTTTTAGCTGCCGCTTCAACGGCTCCAAGATCAAATCCAAAGTTATCCTAACCATTAAAATAAAAAGTTTAGAAATTTAAAAGCACTAAAAATCAAATTAAATACTATCTAGATCTAATAATTAATAACATAAAATGTAAATAATAATTAAATTATTTTGTTGAAAATAAAGTACCTGAGACACAAGTCTTTGGTTTTCTGAAAGCCATGTTTCCCTCATTTGTGCTTTTCGGTTAAACCTTGCAGCAAGTTGTTCTAGTTTTTCTTGTCTAATCAGTTCTTCTCTCAAAGCAAGTTCTCTGTTTAATATAATAAGAAATATATTAATATTTTAAACATTCGATTTTTTAAAACCAAATATTTAAAAATCAAAATAACAGATGTGCAAGGCAATCTCATGTCTAAAATTATGTAAACCTTGTTAGCTCATTAAAATTTTAACTTTAACAATGGAAAGAAAACACTTAACTTATGTTTTAATTGGATAAGAATTGTTCTTAAAATCTCAAGTTTCGAATGATATAAATTTGTACTAAAACTTCATCAATCTTAAATGATAAAGAGAAATAAATTGTTTAATTTAACTGGACAAAATTAATAACTAGAAAAAAATAGACAACAGCAATAACATAATGAATTTATTAAATCAGCAATTTAAAACAATACCTTTCATGTTCAGCTTTTTCGAGTCGCTCCCAAGCCTTGTTGATATCAGAAATCATTTTACCTTCCTTTGGAGTATATGGTTTCTGGTTATTAGCTCGCATTTTGGATTGTAAAGTAAATAATAATACCTCCAAGTTGCCCTTTTCCACAAACCTAAAATTATATTATGATGAATGAACTATAATAAAATCAAATTTGATCAGAAATAGTAATATAAAAGGTCATCAAATTATTCAATACTTAAAAATAAATAAATTAATGCTTAAATATTTGAAAAATGTACTAATAATGACTTACTTTGGTGGTTTTTCAACAGTTCTATAATTGTTGAACTGAGATAACTGTTGCTGAACACCAACAAGGGAATTGGCAAAATGTCGGTCACCAAGCTGAGAAATAGTTGCTTCAATCCACCTCAGCAAATCAGAAGTAAGCCCCTCATACTCGAGGATCATTCGATCATTGTCCATAGCAATACCAACTACTTTTCCTATTCTTTTTCCAATTACCGTTGCTTCCTTCATTTTTGAAAAGTAATGATAATAAGTGACAACATAGGTAATGATAGACTTTTCATCAGGCTGCTCGACAAAAACATCTATAAATAAAGAATGATGAAAGATATTAAGATAGAATTTTATTTGCCAATATTATATGCATAACTAATTCAGACAATAATTACCTTCAGGATCAAGGAGTTTTGTAAGCTCTAATTTCTCTTCCGCAACTGTGAAAGCATTGTTAAGGTTATACATAGCATTCGATTTTGATAGTCGTTCAAAAGCTATAAGATCTGGTCGATGCTTATGAATAATAGCATTAAAGGCCAAACCATCTTTCCAAGAAGTTGTAAAGTTACGAACATTAACATTATGATAGCCAGCAGTTTTCATTTGGCACCATAAAAGAAGGGCATCCTTTGCAGATTTGGTTTCTCTATTGTCAGTCTCTTCAATTGTAATATCTTGTATCTAAAAATTAAGAATGTTGATTTTGAATGTCAGTCAGGAATAATTTTATCAAAAATTAAAAATTCATAAACCTAATAAAAATAAGGATAAACCTAATAAAATAATTTTTGTAATATTTCAGAATATCAGATCTGCAAATATTTTTTTAAAATTTTATTTATCTATGATATTTACAACTGTATTAATAAAAATACATCTTGTAAATGTGTTCACAGGAATAATATAATCAAATGAAAACGCTTGTTGAGAAATTACCCATAGGTAGTTTCTAATAATATATTTACATAAGTAGATCACGAGGCCATCTTCTTTTCAGAAGCCTTGAAGGGTTATCAGGTATCGAAGAGGAAGCAAGGTTGTTATGGAAGAATAGGTATCTGGATTGGGCTAAATCGAAAACATATGGTACATTAAGGTCGTTATAGATGATTTTATTTGTGACATAGTAAGGAGCATTGAGAATTTTGCGAAGGGTTTTGGATTGTAAAGGATTGGATACAAGAGGAATTCGGTGGTTTAATGGAGCCCCAAAACTCAATTCCATTAGTTCAAATTGGCCTTATTATAGTCATGCATATGAGTCTTTTGTAATATATTGGAAGTTTAGAGCATGTCGAGCAGTTTTTAGTCGTTTCAGTCTTGTATGAGGATTCCAAGTGAGTTGTTAATCTAGATACGAGTCCTAGGTATCGGATTTGTTCAACAGGGATAAATGGAGAATTGTTAAAGAATTCTGTAGAACAGGAAGTCATAGGTTTACAATGAAGAGTAAAGGTAATTTGATGGGATTTATTGGAATTTATTTTAATTATCCAGTTTTGACACCATTCTTCAAGGTATTTGATATGTGATTGAAGAGTTTGTAATGCAATTGATGGGTCGTTATTTACGAAGTTTGCACATCGGTCTAGGAGGCCAGACTCTATTAAACGCCTGTTTTAACTTTAAGAAAGATTCCCGTGCAGTACTTTCTGAGCTCCAAAGCAGAGGAGACTACGTCTACCACACGATGACATTGCTAGATAGTGGAATGGGATGTGCGGAATCCAAATAAGTGATCTGGAATAATGAAATAATGTTAGAATCATGGATGGGATACAGGCGTTTTAAGATCAGTTTTTCCAGGATTTTGCTCATTCATAGGTAATAGAGAGATAGAACAGTAAGAGAATGGTTATTCTGGTGGCTTTTTGCGTTTGTATATCATTTTGAAAATGGACAGTTTTCAAGGGTCAGGTGATCCTCAAATATGACAAACCTTAAATACTGTTATCAATCAAAACTCCACACTCAATTTTGAAATATTTTTATGCATGACTGAGATAAACTTCCTTATTGCCTCTATCGAGGCATTATTTCTAGAACTTGGTCTTCTTACGACCAGTACATTAATTCTATTGAATTTATTTTCCAACATTTACTCTTCATTCAGCAATCTTCATTGCATTTAGTTAACTGTTTGCATCAGTTTTGTAGTTTTTATTATTTTATGTTGTTTATTCACTATGACTTTTGAACTATTATAAATCACGATTGTTACGGATTGCTTTGAAAAAAGTTAAAAAACGTTTCTATTTAAAATAAAATATAAACAATTGCAATAAACTTAATAATGAATGTTCTTCATAAAAATCAAACCTAAAATATGTATTTAAGGCTATATGGGGTTTTCCCGGGCCAGGGAGTGTGGGTGGGGATTTAAAAAACTTCCCTGGCACTGGGACGCGAACTTGTGACTATTGTTTTATCATTTTGTCTCATATATCAGGTTGAAGGGCAACAGCGGCGCTGTCCACACACGTTAGCCCTCTTAAGAAAACTCTTAAGAAAAGGGAGCAGTGAAACAATTAATTTATTACGTAAAGAACTAAGTGCGCTAAAATCCAACTGAAATATAGAATAATTGATAAAGTAAAAGTAGGAACAGACAATAACTCACCTGGAACCTTAGAATAATGGTCCAAATAAGACCTAATGATAATCTAGCATTTCCATCAACAATATCGTGTGATCCCATATTTTCAAGATGAACTCTCTGCTCCCGAAGGAATTGTAAAGCCTTGTCTACATTTTCAAGACAATGTATCCTCATTTTTCCTTTAGTTGGGCGTGGCTAAACAAAATATAATATTAGAATATTATAATTAAATCAAAATATAATTCTACAATATTTAAAACCTTACCAGAGTGAATTTTTTTTATTAAGTATTAGGATTTAGGAGAATAAGAAGTCAGTGTGGGGTAACAATGACAATGACGGAAAGTGCATTAACTCTCGCGATCAATAATCAACAATAACATTGTTAATTAATTGATATATCAAATAGTTGATATAATTACGGATAACATGATTGTTTATTGATTTTAATATTCTCGTCAGGGTGCCCAGCAATTCTCCTCCTAAAAATTCTCATACATTTCCTGTTTTTCCTAGATTTCCCCCATAAATTATTCTGTTTCACACAAAACATGTTAATAAATGCTGCTGTAATGTGTAAAAAATTAAGTGATCACAAATTAAAATAATGAATACAGCTGCCTATAGTGCTGTAAGCTCTTATTGCAACGCATTCTCATGTTACACTTTTTATTTTATGCAAAGTATATTTTAGTACTGGTCTGTACAAAATAAATGACAACTATATACAATACATTCCCAATAATCCGAGATGGTTAATCTGCTTTCAATTATTCACTTTTACTATTTTAAAATCCACTATTTAATTCTATTTATTCCTGAAAATAATGGACAGTTACACTTTATATAAGATTGTCGGGAAAGGGGGAAGAGGTGTATTTTATATTATTTTTAGAATCCCGAAAAAAAGGAGAACATAAAAATAGGAGTTATGGAAACATCTAATACATAAATTTATTATTTTATTTTTTTTAAAGACAGTCCCTTTGTATCAAATAGGTTTTGTTATCAAATCGAGATTTTTTTGTTCTCTTCCTCACCTTTTAGGCTATACAGGGCTTTTCCCTGGCCAGGAGAAGGGTATGGAATTAACGACAGAGCTGAAAGCCCAACAACATTGGGACACCAATGTGTAATTATTATATCTTTTAAACTTCAGTTTATCAAACTGTCGGCCAATGTGTGTTTTGCACATGTGTTAGGCCGCTCGGCCGTCCTGCCCCGTATTTAAATTAAGTCTGAGTTTGAGAAGAGTATTTTAACACTCTCTAAAATAACACAGAGTATTTATATTTTTGTGCTTTTTAACACTGCGCAGAAGCTCTATGGCTACTCAAAATTAATTCATCAATCAAGTTAAAAATGTGAATGTTTAACACATTTAATTTTTTTTTGCATTAAATTAAATACTTTTCTTCCACTTAAAGGGTTAAATTTTGATTTTAAGAGCATACGATTAATGTTTGAATCAAATTTCCTTTATTACATCTAAATAGGTAAATATGAGATATTTATTTTATATTATGTTGTCTTTATTAAATTTATATTTAAGAACAAGGGTTCTAACCAAGGCCTACCATGTGGTAGGCTGGGGATTCGGAGTTGAAATATCTACTGCCGGGCAGTAGATTTTAAATTTTCTGTATTTTAATTATTCAACTATTTTCAACTTATCTTTCTTTATAGTAGAGGAGTACAGTCATAAATTGGGTGACAATTAGTTTTTATTTAATGTAATTAAGTGTTAAGTTTTCATTCATTTTATAGATTGATTTATAAATTTTGCTTTGATTGTTGTTTTTTATTTTTATATCTTATTTAGTCTGATGAAGGACCTAAACCGATAGCAAGAAAGAATATACAATTATTTTCAACAGATGACCAGCTTTTTTTAAAAGTAATTATTGACCAACAATGTTAAATATAATTCTACAAAATAAACATCTTATTTTAATTGTCACAAAAGGAGCATAACAAAAAATAAAAATTCCCATAGATTTATCTTTTTTTTTCCTTATATGAAAAATTCCTGTACAATTCCCGGTTTTTGGAAAATTCTAGGTCGCTGGACACCCTGCTCATACATTCCCATGCAGGCTTTTCTAGACAGAGAAGGAATATTATGATTATTTCTGTAGGTCTACCACAAATAAACTTTAATTTTCAAGGTTACCCATAATTTGCTTTAAGACGCAGTAAAAAAAATAGTTTAGTTAAAAACTACTAACCTAATACAACTTGTCTACATAGAAATGATTCATACCTACTGGAAACATGAAACTTCTTAAAAGATATAAAAATAGATATTCTGCATATATCAGTAAAATATGAATTAATAATAAAATAAGAACAATCTATAATAATTTTGTAAAACAACTTACTAGTCTTTCTCCAGATAAAACTTCAAGTAACTGTAGAAGCATTTTTCCATCTCTAAGATCTACATATAAGTCGCTAATTCGACAATTAACACGAACTAAGTGGGAATTGACCCATTTTTGGAAAGTCTTTTTCTGTACACTCTCTCTCTCATCTGTAAAATTAAATTAAACATGTTAATAGAAAAAAAATAAAACAAGAATATTGTGTGTCTTATTAAAAATTATATAAAACCAAAGGTTTGAATTGAACACAAATATACCAAACCAAAATAATATAATGTTTAATAATCCATTATACTAATTTTTAAAAAATAATACATTATATAAAAATGAAAACAACTGAAAATGAAAAAATAGTTTAATATTTTCTATTTTGCTAATCTTAATCATCTAACAATTTTTAATAATGATAAAAACTCAAGATCAATAGACCTATTGAAATTTGAAGAAATAACATGCCTTGATATTATTAAGGTTCAAAATGACATCAAAGTGAATATGAAATAATATTTTTCCCACATCAGACAAATGCCAAAGAAGTCAAGAGATTAGTAATCCATAAGTTAAGAACCTACTTACGTTCTTATTGAAAAGTAAAATATTATTGCTTCAATAGAGAAATTAATATGTAAGTCAATAACTGTTGTGATTAATTTTATTGTTTGTTTTATTAATTGTTTCTCTTTAGCTTTATACCACAACCTGTGAAGAAATATTTTCTCCAGCTGTCAATTCCAGCTATTTGAGACCAGTAACATGACTGCGATATTAGAGGCTACTCTGCCAACCTATCCATATTGGGGTAGCGTTATAAGCTAGAGAAAGATAGATAAACTCAGTAAGATGTTCACTGTTATGGATTTATTGACAACTTAATAAATAATGATCCAACTACAAAATCTCAAAAGCCCACTGGCCATTAGTTCAGTTTTTTTTTTAAATATAAAGGCTTTAGAAGAATGTTTTTATTGACCCATAGTCACTCCTTATTTATAGTTATTTATTTTTAGTCTCTATTTATAAAAACAAATCTGTAATATCACATTGTTCCTCCAAGTTTTTCTAGCTTGTTTAGTAAACAAAATCTTCTCCTCATTTTGCTGTCTTATTTTAAGATATTATTATAAATACGAATGTTCTTCTGCAGCAATGAACAGATAGAAAATATGGAGCATTGCAGGAAAACTACGCTATACTGGTTTTGAAATTTTAAGAACACACATATACAAGTTTTGAAAAAACATTATTTGGGATGAATTTCAGGAGTAGACAGATACTTCACCAAGCCTGGGTGGACGGGAAAGGTCAAAAACTAATTATCATCGGAGCAAGGGTTTATGCAAGAACATATAAATTTGATAAATCAGTCATTATCTCCCTTGAAAAATATATATACATATTGCCACCTCCAGGTCTTTAATTTTATTTAACTCAAAATCAATCACGCATCTTCTTTGATATTAATGATGTAACAGTTGAAGATAAATCATAGTTAGGGTTCAAAGAATAACTTGGTTCCAAATCCAAGAATTTATTAGAAATCTAAAAACCTTTATAATCTTTATGCTCCAATAACTACGATGAAGTATAATGAGGTCTATTTTCTGTAATAAATATAAATTGTTAACATAAAAAAAATACTTAGTGTACTAAAAAAAATATTCAACATGTAGATTATTTATATTTAGTATTTGTACAATTGGCTAATAGAAGAGCATTATGAAAAGTGAAGAAGGAAAAAAAAAAGAAAACCAATAAGACTGGTAAAATTCATATATTCTGCAATAATATAGATAAATGTAAGCCTTGTTTAATATTAATACTTTACTGATTTGAAATTCTTGAATTGATTTTTATTGAGTTAGGTCTGTATCAGAGTACTCACTTAATAACATGACAACTATACTTATAAAGTTAAATAATATCAAAGTAGTAGGATTCGAAATTAGTACATGAATGATAGATTACATTATTGTTAGCATGTAACTGTATCTGTTTAATTGTAAATAGTTTGGGTCCATTATGTAAACATTATGATGTATAATTGAAAACATCATATGAAGTATACAAAACAATTATACTTCTTTTTAAATATCGTACAGAAAAATGTGCAGCTTATCACTTATAACTGCAGGAGAAGAATGAAATAAAACAAGTTTGTCCTCAATAATGATAAAAAATAAATATTCAATATTTTAGTATTAGTAGTCCATTTCATTTAATTTTATACTTATAGTAAAATGGAAACATATTCATCATAATTACAGAATTACAAAGAAAATGCCTAGCAGTTAAGATTCGTTATATAATGTTAAGGTGTTATTCAGACATTTTGGAATGAGTTAATAGAGGAGAAAGGGTCAGAGGTTAAAAAGTGTTCCATTTCTATAACCTCTGAAAATATGTGACCAATTTAATAGAAGGGTCAGACCGTAACAGCCAGTTCAATGAACTTTATTTAACTTGAAACAGTTGTAATAACAAATAATTAATTATTTAAAAATATACATTTTTTACATCATTATTGTGGCTTATAAATATTTAAAAAACGACGTGTCTCTTGAACAACTGTTAATTATAATCAAAAGAATATTTTAGCAGTGCACTGAAAAATCATACTGTGAATGTATCATTGTATACATATATCATATAGTTACCAAAGTTTTTTTTTTTTTTTTTTTTTACAAAAAATTGCAAAAAAACAAAACAGAAAGAAAGAAAATAGAGCATTTCCTTAAACAATATTTTGAAATATTAATCTACTTCTTATTAATATTAAAAAACAAATAAGATTCTGAACAATCATAATAAAGTTATTTATCATAAATTTTCTCAGCTCATAAGCATACACCCACCCCCTTTCTGTTACTATTTGTATTCTTAATTTCTTTTTCTTTATTTATAAAAAGAGATGAGATAAGGAATGAAGAAGATTCAGTGTCTCATTCCGATCATTGTATTTGATGAGAAACGGCAAACAATATTTATATATAAATACACATATACACCATCACAACAAATCCTTTTACAACATTTATGCGATAAAGAATTAATGGAAGGATCTCCAGAAGCTTAAGCAATCATTTAAAAGTCGATTGTTTCAAAATTTATTTTTTTGTACATACAGATTCAAAATTTTCATTTACTGTAAATGAATGCTTACAGTTAAGGAGTTTATGTGTATTTCTGTATTAATCATTAATTTTAGGTAGTTTTCCTAAATACTGTACATCACTACATACTTCAAGAACGAGACCACTTGTTAAACCTAATAAATTACCAAACCAAAAAATATTAAACTAATAATAGAATAATATGAAATATACCTGCTAAAGCTTTTATTCTGCTTCTCTCAAACAGGCGAGATGAGGAGTTCCCTCCATCGTATTCATAGTCGTCAACGATCTCTTGTTGGAGGGAAGGATCCCACCTGACCACCGAAATGTCGGTTGTCATCTGGAAAAAAAATTATTATAAATCAAACAAGAGAAAAAAATTGTTGATAGCTTAAAAAAATAAAATAAAGTACTACAGTGAAACCTCTCAATAAAGAACTAGGGACATCTATATTTACAGGACAATGTTATCCTGTATAAAAACAATTTTATTATTCTGGGGCTAGTGCCCCTTTTAGAAAAAATTATAAATGGTGTGTACATAATATACAATTAAATATTTACAGAATGATTGGTAATAAAATAAAAGTACAGATAATAAAAAGATATAAAAATGTACATAAATATAAAATAAACAGATGAAGTAAAATATATTAAAAAAATATCAATAAATCGTGTCGAATATCAGAAGAGATAGAATTCCAGAGGGAGAAAGCTTGAATTAGGATTTGTCAAATGCAGCAGTTCAGTGAGGAGGAGGAAAGAGCTTGGACATACTGGATCTGGTGGGACGGGAATGGAAGGAGCAGTTGAATTGTAGGATCTGTAGAATACAGAAGGGTTGCCGAGTTCCAATAGCCTGGTATAGGAAGATAGCAAGGAAATACTGACGACTGTAGGACGGATAAAGCCACTTTAACTCTCTATAAAATTGAGTAATTTGCATATCCCTTGAGATCCCGAAGAAAAAGCGTATTGAGCAATTCATTAGACGTTTAAGTTTAGCTTCCAGTTCTCTCGAGACTCCACCATACATAACAGCCTTAGTCAAAATGGGGGAAAACACAAGAGACGAAACTTGGAGTTGATGGGTTTTGAATGGAAGAAGATAACGTAGATGGTTAAACTGTTTCAGTGTGGAAATAATAAGGCAGGAAATTTGGGAGATGTGTGGTTTTCAGGAGAGGGTTTGATCGAGAGTAACGCTAAAGGTTTTAATGGTAGTATGGAAGGAGATAGGCGAGTTGTTCAAGAGAAGATTGGGAGGTACTAAAATGGATTTGAGGAGTGAGTACTGTACCGTAATGAGTAAATGTGCTGGTAAACACAAATGTGTTTTAAACCTTTATTTCAGGTACATAATAGATAGCGTACACAAACAAAGAAAATAACCTGAAACTGGTTTTAATGATCCATCAATGAAGGACAGAATAAGATTTGTTTTTTCAGTCTATCACAATTTAAACCAAGCCTCTTCTGGCTCTTCCTTATTTTTTTAAGAAAAATGTGTGTGTTAAACTATAAATGTACCAGAAGATTCCTAATGCTTGTTTAAAAATTATTCTATTTACAACATAGCTTAATAATAAAAAAAAGTTAAATAAATATTTTTAAATCAACCGAATCTTAACGGATAAAATTTTCTTTACATGCTAAGGAAAATTGTGTGTGAAGACAGATCACAAATATTTGATTTATAACTTTTTGAAAATAGTAAACCATTGTGTAATTATGTGTAACCTTGTTATTTATCCATTCAACACTAATGCACTTCTTCACAGAGATGCATTTACGCATTACTGGTGGGGGAACTAGTCCAGCAAGTAAACCCTATTGTGGTCCTTTTTGCTGCCCTTGAGGTTACTGCTGTGCATTTACCAGGGTGAGAATGTCAAGATCCATTTTCCGGGGCCACTGAGAACTGAAAATTTATGAACCCAGGGGAGGATCGAACACACAACGTTGGGAACCAGTTACTCTGAGACCCACGAGCCTAAGTGCTTGGCCATCCTGTCCTCATTATATTATGTAATTTTTATAAGTTATATTTTCTTCAGCACACTATTATGGGATTTGTTTTTGTTTTTGTTCATGACTAGGGTTTGACATCAGTATGTAAAAAATAATTTAAAAAGTAAAATCTTCGTTAACCCAAAAATTTAAAAAGTTTGTACTTCAGAAATAAGTAATTTAAAAATGTATACAAAATTATTGAAAAGTCATGTAAATTATATAAGGCCTTTTTTTAATTACTTTATCCTTCTTGAATATAAAAAAAAAAAATTAGAAATTTTTAAGTATAATTTAATGGATGTGAAAGCCATTAATGTTGTGTATCTCTAGCCACAACAGTGGTCCAGTCTAAGATATAACCTGCTTTCCTCTCTCTGTTTTAATTATTCTATTTTATTTTGAAAACTATATGTACACCAGACATACTGTTTATTGTTTTAACATTACTCTCAAAGTTGCTGATAGTTTCCAGAATTTTTAATTTCAAATGTTATAGTTATTACTGTTTTGTTTTCTATTTCAATTGAAGAAATGAAATTAGTTTGTTTACTTAGATGAAAATTTTTCAAATATTATTGCCAGAGGAAGCAGTCGGGTGTATTAAGAACTTAGCAATGAATCTAGAAATGATAAAATGGGAGATATTGTTATACCTTCAGAATTCCTGATATCACTGAAAGAAAGAAAGTAAATTTTATTCTGGGACATTAATCCCCTCAGAATAAGTACATTGAACAGGGAAATGACAATTGTCTGGCAATTGTGAATAATTAAATGACAATTAAAAATAAATTAATTTACAAAGTTGCCTAATCTTAATATTAAAATAAAGAGGCATGTAAAATTTTCATAATATTAAATTTATTTTTTCATTCCATAATTCATTATTATTAAATATCACTGGGAATTTAGAATATCACTGAGCTAATACTACTCAAGATTCTGAGACTATAGCCTGCACAGAAAAATTTTGAGTTAAGCCCGAATGATTGAAATCTTTACCTGAGAGAAAACGGAATAAAAGAAACAGAGTGACAATGTCTAAACAGTTCTTACAGTCCAAAACAAATATACAATTAATTTTTAATGATATGTTTTAATCATGATTATTAAATTTCCAAAGAAATAATTCCAGGACAAATATAACATTTGCATACTTCAAATAATTTACATGTGTAATAAATGTGAAATGCCCTTCCACCCAATGCTTCGTTAGAATACAACGAAAAATATACTATTTTTTAAAATGTATTATTTATATATTCTTGATAAAAAATGTGTAAAAATAAAATTACTATTCATTGAACAGGGACGTGGACCCTGAGTAGTTCAGAAGAGAAAGAACTTTATTAAGTGTAGTTGACTGAAATGGGCAGGCGACGTTGTAAAGATGAGCGAGGAAGAACTCCCCAAGAAACAGCTACTGGAAAAATTGGTTCGGTCGAGAATAAGAGCAAGGCCAAAGCTAAGATGGGAAGACAATGTACCAGGCCCTTTTGGGTGTACAGTATTGGAGTGTGGCTGAACAGGATTGAGCAATCTGGTGAAGGCACATTGAGAAGACCAGGGTCCGCATCGGGCTGTAGTGCCATTGAAATAAAATTTTATTTCTACAGCTTTACTACAATTTTTTTTACTTTTGAACCCTTTTCTACACAAATGTGTGTTTAAGCACCATCCTAAAAATAGGGTTTCCAAAGAGCAAACATTTTCAAATTTAACAAACATTTATTTTTGGTATATTTTTTTTGTTCTGACAATACAGATGTTATAGGCTTTTTGTCACCTTAACCAACCTTCTTCTTCTCTGCCTAATATTTTTATCAACCTTAAGTAATAATAATTGTCTGTTTTTTACTTCCTCAATACTTCTAGTACATTTTACATTCTAAGATTTGTTATTTTGACAAAAAAAAAAAAAAAAAAAAAAAAAAAAAAAAAAAAAGAGTATAAAAATGGAAATATATATATATATATATATATATATATATATATATATATATATATATATATATATATATATATATTTGAAATGTAATTATGAAATAATTTTCAAGACAAATTGAAAATCCATCATTGAATCCCTGTCAGACTATTTTAATGAGGACAAGACCTAACTGATATTAAAAACAATTCAATTGTTCTTAGATAGAATGAGAAGGGAGACAATAATTTAAAATGGAGGAAATGACTAATTTATAGGTAAGGGTAATTAGTCTTTATATCAAAATTAACTCCTTTCAAAATGTTGAAATGCTAATTACCAACCAGTCGATATTTATAATTATCCAAAAATTTGTTTAACTTTGATGTTGCTGTATTTAATTTTTTGTCCATGTTCCATCTAGCCCTTCCCACTATAATCCCTTGATATGATTTTTCATTTTGGAGCTATGCTGTTAGCAGCTCACAAGCTATCTATAATCCTTCTCCCATCAGGAGTGGATCCATGAAGAAAGTATCGAGCTGAAGTTTCGCTCGAAAATGGAAAAGTAATTTTTTTTCATTGGTCCAGATGCATCTTATGAGAACCATTTGTGAGATTAGTTCTCAACTTTAGGCAGAAACGTCATCAAAAATAAATATCATTTATTTATTTTTACTTTGTATTATTGACTGTACGCGCCAAACGACTTCTCTTCAATTTTCAATATAGTCAAGCATCGTTCCACTATCGTAATATGTACTATCCTTAAATTATAGTAACGCATAATAAGCTACTAAATTTAAGGGCTTATTAAGAAAAAAAATTAAATTTAAAAGCAATAGGGTTCCTGTATTTTTTAAAAAGATCTTTAACGACTACTTAAATATATTTGTGTAAATGTATAGTTTCTTTTTTTTTCAGAGCAAAAATCGTTATAAAAAAATAATAATAATGCCTCACAAAAAGCAATCCTGAATCAATTAGTGCCTCCATCACAGATTAATAATAAAACAGTTTCTCAAGACCAGAAGGAGTTAAAAAGAATTAAAATACTCAACTGTAATTTCACCACAAATTGTGAGTAACATACATAGTCCCTGTAACAAATCTTAAAGATCGACTTTTATTTGTACAAACCGACTCATAATTGGTATTCACGCGTTCTGTTTCACTTACACAAGCGCGGCTTGAGTTTATGTTTGAATTGAGGAACAAATTTTTAATTACAATACAACATAATTATTATTATTAAGAAATTTAATATGCGAAAGGTAGTTTATAATTGAGACGCCGCGATTGAAAAGAAGGACCAAATTGATCGCGAGGTATTTTTTCCATTTACAGAATTATCGATTTAAGCCTGATTTACGTAATGAAGGTACGTAACTAATTATCTAAAA